TTACGGCATAGGACAGTTTCAGCTCTCTAGTTATGGCATAGGACAGTTTCAGCTCTCTACTTACGGCGTAGGACAGTTTCAGCTCTCTAGTTACAGAGTAGGACAGTTTCAGCTCTCTAGTTACAGCGTAGGACAGTTTCAGCTCTCTAGTTACAGCGTAGGACAGTTTCAGCTCTCGAGTTATGGGGTAGGACAGTTTCAGCTCTCTAGTTATGGGGTAGGACAGTTTCAGCTCTCTACTTACGGCGTAGGACAGTTTCAGCTCTCTACTTACGGCGTAGGACAGTTTCAGCTCTCTAGTTAAAGCGTAGGACAATTTCAGCTCTCTAGTTACAGCGTAGGACAGTTTCAGCTCTCTAGTTACAGCGTAGGACAGTTTCAGCTCTCTAGTTACGGCGTAGGACAGTTTCAGCTCTCTACTTACGGCGTAGGACAGTTTCAACTCTCTAGTTATGGCATAGGACAGTTTCAACTATAGTTACAGCATAGGACAGTTTCAGCTCTCTAGTTACAGCGTAGGACAGTTTCAGCTCTCTAGTTACAGCATAGGACAATTTCAGCTCTCTAGTTACAGCATAGGACAATTTCAGCTCTCTAGTTACAGTGCAGGACAGTTTCAGCTCTCTAGTTACAGCATAGGACAATTTCAGCTCTCTAGTTACAGTGCAGGACAGTTTCAGCTCTCTAGTTACAGCATAGGACAGTTTCAGCTCTCTAGTTACAGCGTAAGACAGTTTCAGCTCTCTAGTTACAGCATAGGACAGTTTCAGCTCTCTAGATACAGCATAGGACAGTTTCAGCTCTCTAGTTACAGCGTAAGACAGTTTCAGCTCTCTAGTTACAGTGTAGGACAGTTTCAGCTCTCTAGTTACACTGTAGGATAGTTTCAGCTCTCTAGTTACAGCGTAGGACAGTTTCAGCTCTCTAGTTACAGCGTAGGACAGTTTCTGCTCTCTAGTTACAGCGTAGGACAGTTTCAGCACTGTGACATGAACAGTTCTCTAGTGACAATACAGAAATTCTGCAAATCACTTTCACTGAAATCCTTTCTTCACCTTGAAGTTACTACGCACCTTCAGAAACATGAAACTAATCATGTTTCATGTATTTCTGTTAAACATGCACCTGATAGTTCACCCTAATTCGTTATCTGTGTGACCTTGCTGTATGCAAATACACTTCACCCATCTCCAGCCTCCCTCTTGATATGGTCCAGATATGTGAAGTTTTAGTTTTGGTGTAAATTCTGCGGCGTTCTCCGTCCCACCCCCACCGCAGAGACTAAGATTAATGTGTTCTTGTGGCCGAGCTCCGCTCCGCTATTCTGGGGATAAATGGAAAATTCACTGGAGCAAAATACGTTTGGAGTAATGGTGGTTCCCTTCAAATAATGAATTCATTAACACATTCTTTCTCCACGAATAAATTCAGAACGTGTCATAAACTCTACATTTTCAACCCAGAGGAATAAAATAAGAGAAAGCCGCTTAAGGCCCTCAACTTTCTGTATTTGTATAAGCTTTTAAAAGCAGGGGGTTGGTGACTTTCAGTCAAAATCACCATGTCATATTTGCGATTATGAAGCTTCTACGTCCGAGCATTGAAGTATTTTCACTGTTCCTATCTGATCAGTATATCACTTATATATATATATATATATATATATATATATATATATATATGGTTTAATAACTGCAGTAACCTCACAAAAACATGAAAATGATATAAAATCATGAATTCTGTCAAATGAATGAGGCTGCAGAATACAGCGCTATAGAATTCTGCATAATGTGACAGATAAAATGTTAATCTCTTGTTTTAGGCCTGAATGTCCCTTTAAATATGAGTTGAGCCTTATGCATTTATTTGTCAAAAACATTAAATATATAAAAATAGGCAAATAAACATTACATCGTGGTTGTTCTCAGTGTGTGTTAGCTTAACCATTTTCAAAGCTCACCTCAAGGAAGTCCAGTATTTACAGTTACCATTCAATACCTAGATTATCTGATCAATTCTTCATTAAATTCGATCAGGTGCTGCTGAAATAAATAATTTATAGATGAGCTCTTCTAACATTTCTTTACTGAAAACAGCCATTATATTTACTTTTTACTGTATTTATGAATATTAGTATTTATTCTAACATTATATAGTCTTTTAAATGAAAAAAACATGATAAATAGTTTTAAACAGTTTTTTGGCTGCTGAAGATTTTTACCCAGTACTGTGTTTTAGTGAGACGCAGACTCGTTGGCTGTGTGTGTGTGTGTGAGTGTGTGTGTGTAGTGTGTGGCTATGGGTGTGTGTGTGTAGTGTACGCTGCTCAGCCTCACTGGCAGTGACAGCAGCAGTGCAGAGCAGATTTGCTGAATTTGCACGTCTCCCTGCGCCCAGGATCGCCCAGCCGTGGGATGAGCTGTCATTGCTGGGCTTCAGGCTGATGGCACAACCCCCACTTACCCTTCTATACTGCTCCTTCAACTCCCCCTCTCTCTTTTCCTCTCCTCTCTTCTCTCTTCCTCTCTTCCCTTTTCCTCTCCTCTCTTCTCTTTTCCTCTCCTCTCTTCTCATCTTTTCTTCTCCTCTTTTTTCTCTTCTGTATTCTTCTTCTCTTCTTTCTCTTTTCTTCTGTTCTGTTCTTTTCTCATCTCTGCTTTTCTTCTGTTCTCTCCTCTTCTTTTCTTCTATGTTCTTGTCTTCTGTTCACTTCTCTTTTCTTTTCTCTTCTGTTCTATTCTTTTCTTTTTCTTCTCTTATGTTCTCTTTTCCTCTGTTCTGTTCTCTGCTTTTCTCCCCTGTTATGTTCTCATCTCCTCTTTTCTCTTCACTTTTCCTCTTTTCTCTTCTCCTCTGTTCTCTTCTCCTATACTCTCTTCTCTTTCCTCACATCTCCATTTTTCTCTTCTCCTATTATCTGTTTTCTTCTCTTGTATTTTCTTCTTTTCTCCTCTCTTCCCTTTTCTCTTCTTTTCCCTTTTCTTTTCTCTTTTCTTCCTTTCACTTTTTCTCTTCTCTTCTCTTCTTTAACATATCCATAACAAATGGGTTTGCCGTCATTACATAAGTACAGATATAGACATGCCTAATTTACCCTGCGAATGATGCCACCTTTTGTTCCCACCACTTTTTTGAAATCACTGTAAGTGATTTTACTGTACATTTTAATATAAATGTATTTTGTAAAATATGTTTGGTTAATACGGCAATATATTCTGAAATACATTTTAGTGGGTGTATTTCAGTATGGACCGCAGTGTGTTTAAAATGTATTTTTTAATAAATGAAAGTACATGTCCATATATTTTTGGCTCTCCAGACTCAGCTGTAGGTCAGTTCTGCGCTCAGATCAAACGCAGGAGAGAAACGCTCTAAACCTGCCGCTGGTTTCTCTTCTGTTCCTCAACAATGATTTCAGCGAGTAGTTTGAATGTGGACGTAACGCAACGCACCGCGGCACATTTTAAGAATCTGATTGGCTGCGAACGCTTCTTATTTGCATATTCCGTCGTGCTAAACTGCAGCCCGCGCGCGCACATTTCAAATTCAAATCTCAACGGAAACTTAACGGTTCCTCTCAGCGAACTCGTAGCTAAAACGGTACAGCTGAGGGAAAAGTTTAGTTTTCGGTACTGTTATTCTCACAGCTGCCGTCCTGAGACATTAACAGACCTTTAATAATGTATAATTATAACTCTGATAAACTGATAATCAGTTTAATCTCACGTTTATCGTGTCCAGCAGCGAATCTTTGTGAATTTAGCCATCTAGGCTGGCTGAGCTTATCCTTGAAAAGTTCAGTACTGAGGTAAGTTAGGTTTAAACTGATGAAAAGTTTTTTTTTTCGTTTGGTGTTTGAGATATTACCTGTGACAGCAAGCAGATAGCTTAAGTTAGCTGTTAGCATTCACATTTTAACACCTAGTCTGCACATTAGCTTAGGTTGTGTTCAGTGTTATGGAAGGGTAAGGGTAAAGTTATTTTTCTGTATCTCCAGTGCATTCTCTGTATGCTACACACTTTAAAATGGTTCTTAAGTGGTTTTTTAGTAAAGACAGTGGTTCTGTTTCAAACCATGAGCTCTATATTTTCATTTCATGCTTAAATGGTTCTTTGTACGGTGAAACAGTTCTTCAGATTAGATGGAGAACGTGTTGTTATGGTTCTCTGTGCAGCCTTTTTGAAAATGGCCAAAAATGTTCTGTTATTTTTACATTGTCAAGCTTGTAACACTATAAGAACCCTTTTGGTGCTGTAGCTATAGAGCCCCTTTCAGAAGGTTCCGTATAGAACCATATACTACACATTCTCCATTTATTTTGCAGAGCTATTTAAGCATGAAATGGTTCTAAAGAGAACTCATGTTTCTAAACATTGCCCTTACTAAAGGACTCCTAAATAACCATCTTTTCTAAGAGTGTAGATATAGAGCTGGCTAACCTGTACCTATAACCTGTTATATTTATTCAATTAATGTTACGTATACTGAAGTAAAATTTTACTGGATTTGTGCTTTGCTGAGTATTTTCATGATGTTATGATGATACTATAACTTATCCTTACATAGGTTATATAGTTATATCAGTGAGGAAAGTAACATGTTACTTCTGTTAGTTTGGTTTATCATCTGTACTGCTCTGTGATTGGTCACTCCTCTGACTTCTGAGGTTTGTCATCTTACGTTAGGATCCAAAAAGAGAAGGACAGAGCTTAACAAACTGAAGTTTCTATGCTTATAGGTGCTGGATAAACCAAAAAGTTACATGGCAGTTTTATAAGTCACTTAGTACTTAAGTACCTGTTTGACCTGCTACTTCTGCTCTTCTACTCAAGTACTACACTAAGTTCTTCTTAAGCTAGATTTATTCAGATTTTTCACTGCACATATTAAATTGTCATCCAAAGAGAAGCCTTGGACAAACTGACCTTTTAGCAAAATGCCTTTCAGACTTTACCAGTTGTTTGTAATTTTGGTAAAAACTCACTTAATCACAAATCACATTTTTGCGATTGAGTCTTTCTTCATTATACTGTTTGTGTTTGTGTGTTTTTCCTGTGCAGTATGAGTACTTTAATGCAGTTCTGATAAATGAAGTGGATGAAGATGGTAACAGTGTGGAGTTGGGCGGAGAGTTTATCCTGGAGCCAAATGACCACTTCAACAACCTGTCTGTCAACCTTAGCCTCAGTGTTGTCCAGGTGCCCACCAACATGTACAATAAAGGTGAGCTGTAAGCACAGCACACACTTGTTTCTAAAGAGTGGATATTCTACGGTCTTGTTTTTTTTTTAATGGGGATGTATATATGGGTCAATTACGAGGTTTTCAAAAATTCGTTTTTAAAAATCTCATTAAAAGGACATGATGTGCATTTTTAAATCTGCATATATATTTACAGTTATATCTATATGCGTTTTATATCTTAAACATAGTTAATGCTATCAAAGTTTTTAATTACCTATTGCCATTATTAAAACTGTGCTGTTTTGATTGCACCATTTGATCTTTGACTAGTTGAGCCACCTGACTTTTCAGACTAATTTCAGATTAAATGAGCATCAACTTAGACATCCATGGACACCTTTGTCCTTGAATTCGAGTTTATGCTTACATTTTTGTTGACATAAATAAACAATATTATAATAATTACAACTTTTCATGGTTTTCCCGAGGTCAGACCACCTGATATAGTAAACTGACCCGTTCTAACCATGACTCAAAAATGATTTTTTTTTCCAAAATGTGCAAAAAGGCTATTGCCCTTAGCATTGCATTATGAAGGTCACTTTGGGTCTTCTTTATAATGCAGTACCCTGGCCCCTCTTTTGTAAAGGATGTCAGAATAAAAGTTCTTTGTTTTTGGTTGTGCTGCCTGACATTTGAGGAAGTAAGAACTTGCAGACACAAGTTTTTCAGTGAGTTGAGCACTTTTAAAGTTCCCTTATTTTGCAACATTGAAAACTTTCAAATAAAAGCAAACATAAAGTCATGCCAAACTGTTTTATTTAAATTGTATATAACTAAATTACCCCTTTTGATAGTTTAATTACATATGTGGTTGGATGGTGGCACCACCTTTTTAGACTTTTGGAGGCAAAGAGAAACTAAAAGGAATTTTATATGGATGCACTGAAAACTTTTTGACATAAAAGAGTTAAACATTTTGATATATGTAGTATTTGTTAAATTATTTTTTGGATCTTAACCACAAGATAGATAATGTAAGATAGTAAGAGATCGCTTTTCCATGTGATTTCTTTAAATGTTGAAGTTTTGTGGGTAAGCTTACAGATACCCTTTTACAGAAGAGTCAGTATTTGATGGCTTCAAACAGTTAAAAAACATTGCCAGACTAGATTGTGTTTAATATGAGACCAAATATTCTCTATAAGTCTAGACTCCAGCTAAAACCATCAGTAAAAAACATTATATGGGTCTTTTTTGCAAGGGAGTGCATATATATATATATATATATATATATATATATATATATATATATATATATATATATATATATGCGTGTGTGTGTGTGTGTGTGTGTGTGCATCCTGTTTTTACTACATACAGCTGTGTGTATGTGCCACGTATGTATGGTTCCATGCCCTTACAGGGAAGAAAAACGAGTGTGTGTGTGTGTGTGTAATGGTTAAGGACAGCCACCTTAGGCCACTCATGCTCCACTGATGCGGAGATGATTAGCTTAGTGTCAGCGCCTCTCCATGGGTCAATAACCACCTGGAGACAAAAACCTACAGTCACCCAGAGTGTGAGTGTGAGTGTGTGTGTGTGTGTGTGTGTGTGTGTGTGGCTCGTTCCTCTGTGCCTCTGTTCTGTCTCTGTGTCTTTGTGAGTGTAATGGCCTGTTATTGTGTGTGTTTGAAGTGGTGAATGCAGCACTGAACTCCATTAAAGAGAAGAAAAGGGATGAGGTGATTTAGTGTGCGTGCTCTTTGTGTAGCGATCGAAAGAGTGAAATTAAGGTCAAAGTTCAAATGTGTCTCAGACTTTACTACTAATGATGGTGTTAACAGACATCTTTCTTTCTTTCCTTCCACTTTTGCTTTCTCTCTCCCTCATCGCCCTTGTTTTTTTCTCTTTCTTTCTCACTCTCCCCTCTCTCTCGTAGATCCTGATATAGTAAATGGTGTCTACTGGTCAGAGGCTTTAAACAAAGTCTTTGTAGATAACTTTGAAAGGGATCCCTCACTTATTTGGCAGTATTTCGGAAGTGCCAAAGGTTTCTTCAGACAGTACCCAGGTGAGCAAAGATGGTGTGCTAGTGTGTGTGCCTTTAAGCTTGTGACTAAACTCACTGATGTCGAGTGATTTTGCTAATGTTGTAATTTTACAGCTCATCAGAGAGAGAAAGTGTTCTGAATATTCAGAAAACGTATTAAAGCCACAGAGCAATAAATGCAACCACTGAATTATGTACATTGTAACCATCGTTTATATGTGCTCACAAAGGGAAACGCTGCAAGTAGAGGCATTTTGGACATGTTCTACCTTTTTTTTTCATCAGATTGTAGACGTGAGTTATTTAACAGCAGAATACAAATATAGATGTAACATTAGACAAACATAAATATCTAATTTCATGTTAGTGATGTTCCCTATAACTACACAAACTAAAGACTTACATATCACTTTCACAAGAAAACCTTGCATCTTCATTTTTTGTCATTGTTAACTTTTTTGCATTAAATGAAAACTCTAGCTTCCCTTTACACTGTGTTAAAATTATATCGTGAACAGACCAACAGAAATAATAACTTCCATTAAATGTTGCAAATGTTTTTTTATTCTCCTGTAAAGTTACTATTTTGAATGTGCAAGGTTTTGTTCAGACAGTGATGATATCCATATATATGAATATTATTACTCTCCTACTATAGAAAAATATTTTCTGACCATACAGGATGATTTTTCTTCCCCAGGACATAAATAAACATTGTTTTGCTTATAGTGTATATACATTGAAACTGAATGTAACTAATAAAAAGATAAACATACAGTCTGTGGCCTTCTTACTGCAGGTGTGAAATGGCATCCGGATGAACATGGGGTCATCTCGTTCGACTGCCGCAACAGAAAATGGTAAGAACCAGAATTTTCTACGCTGTGTTTTAAAGCACGTGGCGCCCCAGGGTTAGCTCTGAGTTTACGGTCTGGCAGCATGATGATAGGACATATTGCACATTTTAGTAGAGGCATGGTTATTGTTCCCAGGCCTTTTGTCAATGAGGTACTGAATAGCAGCCTGTTCCAGTAATCAGGGATTTGATTTGGACTTTAATAGCATTTATTGGCTTCCCAGCAGTGGGATTGCTCAGCCATCACTGTTATAAGGTTTTGTGTGTCTCATTCTGACGCTTTGACTCTGCGACGCAATGATGAAATGTCACGCTTTGATGCTTTTGGGAAACAGGGCCTGGGTTGATGTCATTTCCTTGGTCTGTTGAGTTCACTCTCATAGTCAGTGTCAGTATCGACTGATGCCAGCAGAAAATGGTGGATTGGATATTGGAGAAAAGAACTAATCTGATCTGATTCTGTGACAGATTTTGCCTGAAATATTGCTTGAAGTGCAATATGACATAAAGTAAGCATGTGAAAATAACAGTAGCAACATACAGCCTAACTTCAACTTAAGAACAATAAGTAGCTAGCTAAATATTATACTAGAATCATAATTCTTTTATTTTAAATGAATCAATTTTGCAAGTTTTTGAGTGATATTGCCTTGTATTTGTATAAGCGATGGTGTTGGCTGTGTATTTCTTCTTGTAGGGTAGCAGAGTGTTTAGCAGGGTCATGGTAAATAAACAGTTCTTTAATTAATGTTTTATAAAACATATTCTTTAAAGTGAAAAAATCTAATTACTATCAGTATCAGCTGTTTAGAAAATAAAAGGTGATGTTATGTCAGCTCTAGCTTTTGCATGTACGTATACTTGTATTTATTTATGTATTTGTTGATTTAATAATGAGTAAACAGCTACACTAACTGTGCATATTTCTTTTTATTCAGACAAGTTACTTGTGACATGAATAATTGGATACGTGCTGAGTAGCGTATGAGTGAATGGACACATGATTAATGATGTTAACTGTAGGCATGTATCCATTCACTCATACGTCTTATTCTACATTATTTATATTTATTTATGTGCTCATACATCTTAAGATATGAGCAAACAGATGAACTACAGTTAATGTTACAAAACATATGATCTACTATGATATATTATAAAGGATCATAGCCAAGCTAAACATTATGTAAGGAACTGATTGAAGAAGAGTACGCCATTACCAGAGAAATGCTGAAGCTGCTAAAGCTCCTTTTCAGTACAGCGATCTGTATTTGCGCAGTACTTTGTTGAGTGTACACATTCTGCAGTGGTTAACCTCAGTTTCAGTTAACAAAACAAGGCTCTCATTTTCTTCTAGTGAATGAAAAAAATGCTCAGAAAATGTGGGGTTGGGATTTACCTGCGCTGCTGAAAGACGCTTGAAAGAGTCATTAATCATTATAAGCCACAAACACTGTGCAATGAACGAAGCATTTTTTTTCATGTAATGCAGCACCTAAAAAGTGTTCTTCAATTCTCATTTAAACAGGATCAAAGACATTTATTCAAGAGTAATTTAAAAGAGCATAAAACAACAGCTATAAATTGAATGACATATATTGGTTGAAGTATTACTTAACAATTATATTTTATTTTACAGGATGAAAGATAATTTTCACACATCATAATTTCACCTGTGTCTGTAATTAGAATAAATGAATAAAATGAAAGAAATAAAAATAAAATGGTAAATGTAAAAAAGTAACTATTTCTGTTATTATACGTAATCATTAATTGCAAACGTTACACAATTAAAGCTAGTTAAAGCAGTTTAGATCAAGTAAAGCATTTTTCACAGTATTTCAGCAGGCTTTATCTGAACAAACTGAGTTTTATTGACGTTTTCTTCTCAGGTACATTCAGGCAGCAACCTCTCCAAAAGATGTGGTCATTCTGGTGGATGTAAGTGGCAGTATGAAGGGTCTGCGGCTGACCATCGCCAGACAGACTGTTTCCTCCATACTGGACACACTAGGGGATGATGATTTCTTCAACATCATCGCTGTGGGTAACGCTGAGGAAAATCAGTCATTTGATTATTGATATGGCTGTAATATTGGCCGGCTGGGCAAATAGTGTTCAGAATAAGTTGGACCACATTTCACTGTCATGGTGACCAATTATTTAATTCTGTGTTGAGACACACAGACCTTATGGTGAAGTTTTTCTGCTCTTGCAGAATGCGTAGGTAAGGGATTAAGTATAAACAAAAATAATAACAGAAAAAAGGAAAAGCCAGTGTAGATAAAATAAATCTTGAGTAGAAAAAACTAACACAACATGACGAATCTTTGCAGTAGACTGTAAAAAGTGAAACGTCTCAATATTTGTTAAACAAAATAAAGTAACCGATCTCAGTTTTGAAAAATCCTAAATAATCCTAAAGTCTTAGATGTGATAAACTGAAGAGGTGACTGTACTTCTTTAATAGAGAAAACTGAAATTGTATTTGTTTCTGCAGTACAATCAGGAGATTCATTATGTGGAACCGTGTCTGAATGGTACGCTAGTGCAAGCAGACCGAACCAATAAAGATGTGAGTCTCTCTCTCTCACTCTTTCTCTCTCTCTCGTATTCCACTCCCCTCGATATCTCTCTCTCTCACTTTCTCTCTCTAATCTAATAAACGATAACAGCTCCTTGTGTTTTATTGCCTAGTAATGAGTGGAGAGAAGCTTGATAGCAGATTAAAGAAGTGTTTATTTTCTTCTGTATCAGCATTTCCGAGAGCATCTGGACAAGCTGTTTGCCAAAGGCATCGGCCTGCTGGGGGAGGCTCTTGCAGAAGCTTTCACAATTCTCAGTGAGGTGACCACACACTTTCTCTAAACACTCCTTTTCACTCTGCACACTGGACTGATTCTCCACATACTCACTGAGTGCAGCTGTGTACACGACAGTTATACCTGAGCATTGTCCAAATGGACATATAAACTTGATATAGTTGCATCAGTGCAGTTCAGATAGTAATATTAGTAACATATTTATTTGGGTAGCGCCCGTCTCACACCCAAATAAGAAAAAAAAACCAGTCTAATTAAGTACAGACTTTACATTACAGTGTAAAATAATCCTTTAAACAGTAGAAGCCTGGCAGCAAAGTTGTTTGTAGTTATCCAATTGCTGTGAAAATCCTTAAATTTACAGTAATTAAAGCACTTCATATTTTCAAGTACAATAATTTAGCATTTACTTATTTTACTGAAACTTTACTCGTTTGGACATGTTGGGAAAAAATGTTTTTCCACATTTACTGCTAAAAACAATGTAGAATCTACAACACACTAAAACTAATTGTGGAAAGATGTCCTTATTTTACAGTATACATAAAAAAGAGTACACTATAAAAAATGTTTGTTTAACATAAAAGAGTAAGTTAATTAACATAAAATAATAATTTAAAAGAACAGTTCTTTTGTGTTACATTCTGTTGAGGATTAATATAAAATAAACATTTTAAGGCAGCCTGGTCACTTAATGTTTTATTTTAAAACTCCAGATAATATATTACACAAAAATGTGATCAAAGGTATTTATTCAGGATTAACTTTGAAGAGCATGAAAACAACAGGTTTGAACTGAATGACATTTGATGGTTGAAGTATTATTATTTAACAAAACATTATTTTACAGGATGAAAGATCATTTTCACACATCTGAACTTCACTTCTGTCTGTAATTTAATTAATAAAATGGAAGAAATAAAAGGATATTTAGAATACTAGGCTATGAAATTAATTATGATTATTAACATATTATGTTCATTAATAGCAAAAGTTACACAGTTAAAGTTAGTTGAAGCAGACTAGTTTGACTGAGTTTGATCAAAGCTTTTGATTTTGTGTTTTGAGGTCCAGTGTGTGTCTGGCAAAGTGGCCCATGAAGTCACATTTCTTTATCTCTGCACTTTAAAATGTACCTGTAATTCAGAGAATAATAGCATCTCTCTTACTATATAAGCACCAAAATATGCTCAGTTTCACCTATAATCTAGTCAGTGAGTCAAAAATGATCCCAGATGTGTTGTTCTACAGTATTTCGAATTATGCTGCAGTGTAGAGTGTGTATGCGTGTGTGCATGTGTATGTGTGTGTGTGTGTGTGTGTGTATGTATGTGTGTGTGTGGTTGTGTCTGCGGCTGTAACGCTCCGGCGGCGTCCCGTTTACGTCCCCCTCTCTGCGACACCTCTATCCCACACTGTGATTAATAGCAGTAATTAAAAACGCTGATTAACAGGCAGAGTGGAGAGAGCACAATGGAGAGGAGATAGTGGTCACTCACTCTCTTTATCTCTCTTTTCTCAGGCCAGGCGGGGAGAGGGGGAAGAGAAAGAGGAGCGAAGGTGGGGGGAGGGGCGAGAGAGGTGCAGAGACGCTGGAGAGAGAGTGTTAGAGTGAGAACAGAGAAAGTAATAGAAATGTAACATTTACACAGTGGAGAGGAGGAAGAAGGGAGAAGAACAAGTGAGGGTGAAGAAGGAATGAGGTGGAGAAAGGGAAGAAGAGTGAAGGAGAGAAAGAAAGGAGGAGGAGAAATAGAAGGAAAGTGAGGGAGAGACAGAAGGTAGGAGGTGGAGAAAGGGAAGAAGAGTGAAGGAGAGAAAGAAAGGAGGAGGAGAAAGAAGGAAAGTGAGGGAGAGACAGAAGGGAGGAGGTGGAGAAAGAGAAGGAGAGGGAGAGAAGGGAGGATGTGGAGAAAAAAGAAGAGGGAGAGACACAAAAGAAAGGAGGTGGAGAGAGGGAAGGAGAAAGGAGGTGAAGAAAAGAAAGAGAGTGAGTGAGAAACAGAAGGTAGGTGGAAGTGGAGAAAGAGAGAGAGAGAAAGGAGGAAAAGAAAGATGTAGAAATAGGGAGAGAAAAGGGAGAATGTGGAGTAAAAGAATCAGAATGAGGGAGAGACAGAAGAAGAAAAGAGAAGGTGGAGAAAGAGAAGGACAGTGAGGAAGAGAGAAGAAGGGAGGAGGCAGAGAAAGAGGGAAGAGTGCGCTGCGTCTATTTGTCACATTCATTAAAGCAAGGTAATAAATATGGTAATCAACAAGGCCAGCAGTGGGACATTTTAAAGGGACGAGTGTGTGTGTGTGTGTGTGTGTGTGTGTGTGTGTGATCAGGCCAGTAGTAGAAAAGTTTGGAGAGAGGAAGCTTTAAACTTTTCCAGTGATGTTGTGTGACGGAGTGTTCACTGATTCACTTTAACTGAATGCAGAGAATAATTTATCCTTTACTTTTATTCCTTTAATAAACCGTTTTATCGCAGTAGAAAGCACACTGAGAAGAGTATATGCAGAGATCCTGTAAGGAACTGGTGTCTGAAGATAAAGGCTTGTTCCCATCTTGTTCAAATCAAGATAAAGAATAAAAATTACAGCAGATATTCAGTAACTATATGACAAGTGCATTTATACTAAAACACCAAAACATAGAGCAAAGCGCCAAGAACTGGTACCTTTACTGACACAAATGAAATTGGTAGTTGATGGTTCTAAGATCTTGTGCTGACTGTCCTTAGATTTAATTACATTTTTTTTATTTTTAATCTCTTACTCCGTCCGTCTCCTTCTTTTTCTCGCTTCTTCCTTTTGCCCTCTCTCCCTCCCTTACTCTACCTCTATTTCTCCCCCTTCTTTCTTCCATTTTCTCTCCCATCGGTCACCTTCTCTTTCTTTTACTCCCTTCATCTTCTCCCTCCTTAAGTTTCTGTCCCTCCCTTACTCTGCCTCTCTTTCTCCTCCTCATTTTTTCCATTCTCTCCCCTTCAGTCTCCTTCTATTTCTTTTCCTCCCTTCATCCTCTCCCTCCTATTTCTTTTCCTCTCTTCATCCTCTGCCTCCTTAAGTTTACTTTTTTCTCCTACTCCTTTCTTCCATTCTCTACTCCCTCAGTCTCTTTTTTCTCTTCCTCCCTCCTTCTCTTCTCTCCCCCTCAGTCTTCTTCTCTTATTTTCTCCTTGCGTTGTCCTTTCTCTCCCTCCTTCAGTCTACTTCTCTTTCTCCACTACTCTTCCCTTCTCCTTCTTGCTCACTTTCTGTCTCCAATGTCTTTCTTTGCTTTTGCTTGCTTTCTTTCTTTTTCAATGTCCTGCCCACTGTGAAGGTTTGAAAACATTCTGTAGTGGGAGGAGTATCAGTTCAGAAAAGACACAACTGCAGTGTATAATAGGTGCATTTGTATCTGCTCTACTTGCTTGTGTGTGTCTGTTTGTGTGTTTGTGCATGTCTGTGTGTGTGTGTGTATGACAGAGACAGAGAAAGAGAGAGAGGTTTTCAGTGGGTGATGATGTCGTCACTCAGATCGCTTCGTTTCTACGTTCTCTCTGTCATGGGTCAATAAGCCAGTTAATTACTGCGATGGATCTTAATCCATCAGATTAATGATCATTCCAGCCAGGCTGAGCTCAGGCACAGATTACCACAGTCCTGATGGGTAGGAAGCTTCAGCCGCAGGCTAGATTACAGCTGCCAAACGCACACTACAGTACAGCATCAGGAGAGTTTAGCTAAAAACCACAATCACACTCAGTCCGCATTAGCTGCATGGACTTAACATTACGATGCTTTTGGGAATGTCAGACAAAAAAGGGTCAAACAGTGTCACTTATAGTTCTGGGTGTATTAATAACACTGTACAGTATTAGGGTTGTCAGTATCAGTTGTACTAATAATCATGTAATCTACCAGCAGATCAGGCTAAGCCTTAAAAAAACCTGGAAGAATCCAAATTTTGAAGCCATTAAAACAATTCCAAAATATATTTATATTAAAACACTGTGTGCCAGAAAATGAAAATAAAGGGGTGTATCAGCCAGGCCCCATTTCTTACTGTAAGAGAGAGCAGTAGAAATTTTTAAAATATACAGTTTTATCATGTAAACTTACAAGTAATCACTGCCAGTTCATAGATAATGAGAATTTTAATCCTTTTTTTGCTTTTACACAATTTTGCAAACATGCACCTGCCTCTTTCACATACTGCTGTACTGTACATTCAGTATTGCATTTATATTTATTAGCTATACATAATTAAAATCTGTTCCTGCATGTTCCTGTTGTTGGTTTAAAGAAAACAAAAACTCTAAATATAAAAAAAAAAAACATTTTGTTTTCATTGGACATTGTACAGTTTTATGATTGCTCGTATTTATATGTCAGCATCATCATTTACCAAATATAATGATTTTTTACATACATGCTAGAACTTAATAAATGTTTTCTAAATTCCTGAGTTTAACAGCCATACTGATGCCCATATTTTTTTTTACATGCTAGCTCTTATCAGTTAAAAATCTCTGTATCTGTGACCATAGGTGTCTTATTGGAGTGCTTATTGGCGTGTCTGTATGTGTGTGTATGTGTGTGTGTGTAGTTTAATCAGGCAGGCCGTGGGAGTGTGTGCAGTCGAGCCATTATGCTGGTAACAGATGGAGCCACTGAAATGTATGACGACGTTTTCGCCAAGTATAACTGGCCTGAACGAAAGGTGGGCTACTCATTCACAAACACATTCAAAACTGCCAAAAAACACCTCACATAGCAGTCTGGGGGGTCATTTTTGTTTTTCTTGTAAATTCTGAAATATTTTCCTGCCTCTGCTATGTTGCTGCTTGGCAAGGCATTTTGCCTTTTTCTGATGGGGATATTTTGTTCATTTGAGACATTTCAACTGTATAAGGTTGTTTAATTTCTGTTTCTGACATACTGAGAAATTGAGGTGTGTTTGTGGTGCACTTTTCACAATCCGAGCGCCTGGAAGGCTTTACTGATGTGTTGGAAATGCTGACGCCACCATCAGGTTTCACATCATGCCCCCAAGGCTGCAGAGTGAAATATGGCAATTTAAGACATGTTCTCAGTCAATTTCAGTCACCAGAAAAGTGCACCTAGATCATTTTTATTGAACTAATTTGTCAAGCTAAGTTTGAGTGGTAAACATTTTTTGTTGATCCAGCTCAGTTCTTTGCTGTCTTCACAGAGTTCTTTCTTTCTTTCTATTTATTTATGTACAGTTTTGCCCCTCACCCCCTATGTAGTCTGTCAGCCAAGACATTCAGTGTTTAAAGTTTGCTTTTTTTAGTTTTGCCCTGGAGCTATGAGGCTAATGTGGCTAACAATAAAGGAAGCTAAAAGCACTTGTAAGCATGGTGCTAACTGCATGCCTAAATCATCACACATGCCTCAGAATTAAAAACATATTTGAAAGTAATTTCAAACAGACTTGCTGCATGGCTCTTCATCTATTTAAAAAGGACAAAAAAGTTTCACTATAAATAGGAGGAGCAGCCATCTTGAAGCCTGAGTTTTTTCATACTTTTGTCTGTGTTTATAGGTAACAGTATGTCATACAGTGTCGAACAACTCCAACTCCACACGGGTTGCAGCAAATCTTTGATTAAAGTATTCACAGTGCTAATCGATGGCTGTAAGCTTCCATTATTTGTTAGTTACATTTGCCTCCTAGCTGTAGTACTAAAACTAAACAAGCAGACTTCAGACAGCAAATGTATCTTGATTGATTGAGTATGTTTAGGGTAAGGGGCAGGGCTGAAACCAGGATCCAAATTTTAGTGAGATCCATTCTGCAGAAAAGAGTTATATCATATGGCACTATACTATCAATACGCTTACAGTGAACTTTCTCTTGCTTGTTGAGGTTTGTTATGAGTAGGTAATGCAAAACAACTTAAAACTGAACTATAATTAAGTTCTTGTTTGATTGCGTAAACTGATTAGCTGTTGCATTTAGGCTGTAGCATGCTTTAGCTAGTAACATTATGATTAGTCTATATATCGCTACTGTCAGAAGAAAACCTCATATCTCCATTTTTGTTGTTTTTCAGTTTTTGACAGAATTTGAAAATGTTGCTCTTTACATTATGTGTAAGTTTCATGAAGAATGGACCAGAAGAAACATCTCAAAATTACTTGGAAAAAAAGTCTGGTTCCATTGACTTACTTTATTTTGTCCTTTTTCTGTAAAGGTACCATTTTGGAGATACAAAGTTTTCTTCTGACAACAGTGATATTCAACAATATACAAATACACAACAAATTAAGTTAAATGCAAAGTTATTTTAATTCTTTAACTGCCCTCTTAAGCTCACATTTATTTCATAGTTTCTCGCATGAACTCTCACTTTTATGTTATAAAAAAGTTATTTGTTAGCATATAGTATGTGTGCTGCATACCTGTACATCGTAACAAAAAGTCCTCCTGCTCTGGGCAGCGTAGCGCCTTGTGCAGAGATAAACACATAGGGCAGTCACATTTATGAGCAAGCTGCATCTTCTCTGAGGTCAGCCAGTAGTGTCACTGCTGATTGGGCAGGTTTGCTATAAAAGCTTTTCTGCGCAGCACGCTGCACAGCACGCTACACTCCGCCACCACTTGGTCAGGATTTGTCCACATTTCCACTACTGAGACTACTGGAACTACTGAGGTCTGGACATCAAAGCTAGTGACCCCCATGTTGAGGGGGAAATTATATAAATTTGACTTTCTGATGGCAACGGCTTTAGAAGAAAAAGCAAAAAAATGAAATAAGGGCAAGTCGAATGATTCAAGCAAGCCATCTGCTGAAAATTTAACCTGATAAACTGAAATTTTCAGTGGAATAAAGGAGACCCTAGTGTTTGGAGTGTTTTTCATACAGCATTGACGTGAACATGAACAGGGCACACTCACAGTGTGTGTCTCTGACTCTCATGTCCTGATCAGTGGGGGGTGAAATACATCTTTAGGCCTTGCAGAGTGTGTGTGTGTGTGCTGTATGTGTGTGTGTGTGTCTGTGTGTGTGTGCGGAATGATGCATGCTTGCGAACATTGCAATGCTGCTGTGCTGTAACTGCTCCGAATGAGCTGAAATCAAAAACCATTTATACTGGACAGACAGAGGCAATGTAGTGGGAAATAGAGGGAGCTGGAGAGAGAGAGAGAGAGAGAGAGAGAAAGAGAGGAGGGGAGGAGTGACAAAAGGAAGACGGAGACATAAAACCAAGAGAATGCGATTAACTGTAATGGAGGATTTAATCATTGACAAACATGCATGGAGGGAAAGGGAAAGAGGAGAAGGGAAGTGGAAAATATACAGAAAATGGATAAAGGCAAAAGGAAAGATAGTAGACGTGGTAGTGTTTTGAATAAATGCGTTTTCTCTCCACCTAGGTACGCATATTCCCTTATCTGATTGGACGAGAGTCAGCCTTTGCCGATAATCTGAAGTGGATGGCCTGCGCTAATAAAGGTTTGCACACACGTTTAGCTCACACCACTTCAACACATATTCATTGAAAGGGCCGATATCCTTCGTTTTTCTTTGTTTTTTATTTATATGGATTTTATTTTTTTCTCATATGATATTTGTGTGGTTTTGTGTACAAAACAAGTATTTGTAGTCATTATTTTCCAACCTCTCTTTATCCCTTCCAATTAAACAGGCTGTCTTTGAAAATGTGCCTCATAAACATGTGTTTGTTATGTGTTCTGATTGGCTGATTTAAAAAGCAGTTCAGGGTGAAACACACCTTATTACGTCAGAGTGAATCAGTGGCGCTAAGCTGCTGTAGGCTGAATTTACTGATTCTCGTGACATCACTAAAAACAAATCAAAACAATTTAAAATAGACAAAAAACATTTTTTTACGTGTAATATGGGCCCTTTAATTAAATCTTACATTTAATTTGTTCCATATTAAATTCGACTCCTGAGCAGTACTCTGTAAGTGCTGTGTTGGACTGAATGTTCTCTGAGCCACCCCGCTGCGGCGCAGCTTTGTAAGTTTATAGGTTGCTGAATTGGCGCGAGGGAAACTGCGGCAGGACTGACATGCAGAGGTCAAAGGTCAAGTGAGCCTAAATCACTCTTCCTGTCAGCTTCGGTCCCCCGGCTGCTGTGCTGATCACTCCCATGTGCCTCCGTCACGGACGGCTGGACTCAGAGACACGGAGACACTCACTCACTCACACACGCACGCACACACATTTTCTCACTTACACTGCCTCATTTGGCACCTGGTGCCTCTGACTTAATTTTGAACACAGAGAAATAGATTAAATACTCATGTTGACCTTACAGTATTTACTGGTTCTTGTGAAAATTTTTGCTGTGTATTTTCCTTACTGCATATGTTTTTTTACATGGTGTGCACAGCTGTGTATGCCTTTGAGAGCATTTGTTTGTTTAGAGGTGTCTGTGTGTTTGCATTTGTTTATAAGGACTGTGCAAAAGTTTCAAGCATCAGAGAAAATTCTATTTAAAACACCTTATATCTCGGCAGTGAGCATTTATTTGCTCAGAAAAAAATAATATTAGAATAAAATACATGTATCATTTATACATCATGCGGCAGCGTGGTATAATTTGTAGTTATTATTCAACACCTGGTCTTTCTAATTGATCTTTTATTAAATTAATTGAAGTGTGCTGGCGGTAGATTAGTTCAAATCCATGCAATGACTGGGTCTTTGAAGAGAAATCTGGAACCAAAATAGGGTTTTTATAATTAGGTCATAAGACATCAACTTTTTTAAAACAAGAAATTCTTACTTTTTTACATCATAACGCTTGTTTGGATTAATTATAACATTAAATTTGTTTTTATTGGCAAAAATACAGTCAGTGATGAGATGGTTTTAAACAGTTTCCTTAAGCACCTAAGACTTTTTTACAGCACTATATGTAAATGTTTTTATGTGTATAATGTATAAATATAATTGTATAAATTTATAATGTTTGTGTGTGCAGGTTATTTCAGTCAAATTTCCACCTTGGCTGATGTTCAGGAGAACGTGATGAGGTACCTGCACGTCATGAGCCGACCGAAAGTCATCGACCATGAACACGATACAGTGTGGACCGAGGCTTATGTGGACAGTGCCGTAAGTACACACTGCGTGTTGGTACAGGCGTGCTTTTTCTGTGTGTTTTCATCATTACATCTAGAGATGCACTGATCATGAATTTGTATGGCTGATTGTGATTCCAGTTTCTTTACAGCCAGCTTGGCTGTTGGCTGATTTTTACAGCTGATTTTTGTTAGCTTTTTTTTTTTTTAACCTAAAGCTCACACCATGTGGGCTAAATGAACACAAGAAACACACTAGCACATTTCCAGTTGTTATATAGTTTACATTATTTGCTTTTTATTTAGCTAAACTGGCATTTTAAATTTATAAATGAAAAAGCATTTGCTCATTTAAATATGGATCAAATAAACAGGCATCTGGCTGTTTCGCACAATGAGTCATATAATTATATGTTTTGATGCAGCAGCAGCATTCAAATACAGTGCTCACGTTATTTACGTCATAAACAAATAAGTAAATAAACTGAGCATTTTGTGATTAAGCTTTTGGAGCAAAAATCTGCCAATTCCGATCATGCATCCTTAATTACAGCACAACATTGTCTACATTTTGTCATTATTTGTACTGTATAATAACTGTAAATAGGATATTGTACAGTATGTAACTCCAGTTTGTACCTTTGTGTTTGCACCTGTGTGTGTGGGGTGTACATAACAATTTATTTATTCACTTATATATTTTCATTTTAAAAATAGTGTTTGTTGGATATCTTAGAAATTGTCGCTGTCATATCAAAATCCTGAAACTCCTTTTTTGTTTTTTGGATTATTTTACACCTTTAAAAACTGCTGTTGCCCTTAACAGTGTCTGAACATTTAAAAGACCAATAGAAATGCTCCAAAATTATTTGGAATAAAATTTTTATATATTACAGTTAAAAATGTTTGTTACGATAACGATGGTACAGTACAGTATGTAGTGTGCATGTTTTAGTTTGTGTTTGGGCGTGTATATATAATTTTGTGTGTTGTGTGTAATCTGTGTGTAGAAGCATGATTCTCTCCACCGCCTCTTCACTCTGTGTAAATGATTGCGCATTAGTAGCTTCATTAGCTCTGATGTTCACTCCCCTCCATCTGACACGCAGCACGACATGCTGCTGTGCTGTAGATGGAAGAAAAAAATGCTTGTTTACTGTTTACACAATGCCACTTTACTTCAAAATGACGTTTTGCTTTTTACTCTCCGTAGCTTGCTCAGGCTCATAAGGTAAAGCTTATCTTGCATTTCGGGTTTGAGTCTTCATTCTGTGCCATAGACACTTTGCTGTCTGATGTAAATATATCAGCACTACCATTCAGAAATTTAGCTAAACGTCTTTGGAAACATAAGACCAATTTTGTTGCAGACACATGAATTAAACGATTACATGCTGGTTTTGTGCGGATTCAATGATGAACAGAGCAGTAGATGATTCTAAAATCAATGAGCCTGTAGAACAAGTGATAAATAAAAAAAAATAATATCCAAAATGAAGTTCTAGTAGAATAATTTTCCAGAATGTTTCATATTCCAAAAGTGTTAATCGAATGTCAAGGCAGAAAACTTGGTGAAATATTATATATTTATATAATATTTTTAAATACAAATATATTTATATTAAAATTCATATATTTAAATGTGTAATTACATTATTTATTGTCATGAAACAACTCCTTGTTAAACTTAAAATATTGACAAATCATATATAAAAAAATACATTTTAATGATTAGTTTGTAATATTTCAATCTACACAATTTAGGTTATAATTGAATAAAATAAAAAAAACGAACATTACACACTGCTGTTGTCTAAAGGTGTTATTAACAAACAATAAATAAACAAATGTTACTCACCACCACCCTCTAAAATTTATTACAGTTCAAGCCTAAAGTGGCCCAAATGCATTGATTGGCTATAAAACTTGCCAGCTATCCATATTCAGTATCTCTCAGCAGATGTCAGACACAGCTTAAGTTCAGATAAACAAACATTACTCAAACATCAAATAAACAAATGTCGGTCACCGTTGCCCTCTAGTGGTTACTACAGTACAAGCCTAAAGTCTAAAGATGTTATTAACGTCAAATAAACAAATATTACTCACTACCGCCCTCTAAAGGTGTTATTAACAAACATCAAATAAACAAACATTACACACTGCTGCCCTCAAAAGGTTATTACAGTACAAGCCTGAGGCCTAAAGGTATTATTAATATCAAATAAATAAAAGTTCTGTCTTAAATGTATTTGTTTGCTTTCTTGTATTTGCATGTATTTTCCTCAAGTCAACAGCTGAAAAGTAAACATGTGACTGAAAGCTACACAACTGCGGTCAGGTCAAATAATTGCAATCAGACGATTATGAAATGATTGTGACAAGCCTGCTTTCCAGACTTTGGAACGCTACGAAACGGTGCTGTGTGCATTTGACTACTATAAGTAGTAGATGTGTATAGATGTGATTCAGAGTGGTAGAGAGAGTGAGAGAGTGAGAGAGAGAGTGGGGGGAAGGGGTTTCAGCTTACTGAGTGTATGGAGTGTTGAAACACAAGCCGTCCTGTCCTACAGCTGATAAAACTCATCATTTTACACACACACACACACACACACACACACACACACATACAGCCTCCCCCCATACACTTTTATACCCGCACTATCACACTTGTGCACCTGAGTGTCCAACGCTTATACTCATTCATATATGCTCTATCACATGCATGCAGACACACACACCAACAGACACACACACACACACAGTTGAGGGTTGTCCTCCAAGAGTGCATGTCGTTGTATCTCGGCCAGTGAGACACACCATTCATCACTTTGTGGATCATTGCCCTTTATCTCCTAAAGCTGTAATAAAACTGACACCAGAGCAGAGAGGCCAGTGAGAGAGAGGGAGAGAGGGATGAAGGAGGGTGAAAGAAAAGGAGAGGTAGGAGGGAGCACAAGGTCGTTTCCCAGAATGCACTCTGGGGGTAATTCAATATCACTTAGTTTCCACAAAGTACAGTCTCACCTGCCCCAGTGAATAAAGGAAGATCATGACAATTTTTTTTTTGAAAGTCAGTGTGAAAACTTCCCTCCATTTCCTTCTGCACTGTGACATATTTACAAGTGAAACACGGTATCAGCGAGGGTCTCTGAGCAGAGCCTTTACTTTTAATGATAGGTAAGAAGGTGGCAGCATGATTATTAATATTATATTCATTTTCCCCAAATGCTGGTGATCAAAGATTACTGAAAAAAAAAAATCCTTATAAATGGTATGATGAATCATGCTTAATATCACAGACCAGGAACATGAACTAACAAGGTAAAAAAAAGGTACATTTTTTATTTCAAGTAAATTTATATTATATTACATTATATTACAAAGTTTCGTTCCTTCTTCAAAGTGTGTATTTCTTCTGTTGGTTTGTTTATTTGTTCTTTCTTTGTGAAGTATTTGAAACGCAAATGTAATGTAATATATTACTATTATTATCATTGTTGTTTTGTTGTTGTTGTTACGGTTATGGTTTTTTAAATGATACTGTAATTTCTTTTCAGTAATTTAGCTTTCCTCTTGATTTACTGTCATAAAAACGGGATTTCTGTTTTTTAGAATTCTGGGACATGTACAAAAATGATTGAATTTCAGTCTGAATTTGTTTAGTCTGACTTAGACGTCAGAGTAGGACTGGATAATGTGGAGAGCGAGAGGGAGAGAGAGAGAAATACATCGTTAGAAAGAGTAAGAAGTACAGTAAAAGTAAACAAATTAACCAAAACATCTAAATATGGCAAAAGTTATATATCCATAATTTTATGAATAGGAATATTAACTATAATAGGAATAGTTAGGGTTATAACAATAATTGGAATAATCTTTCTGTCCTGAACTCTCTCCTCTTGTCATCTCTCTCTCTTCTCTCTTCTCTCTCTCTCTCTTTCTCTCTCTCTCTCTCTCTCTCTCTCTCTCTCTCTCTCTTTTCAGCTTGGAGTAAGCAAAGGCCCGAACCCAGTGACCACAGTGGCCATGCCGGTGTTCAGCACTAAGAATGAGACAGTAAGCTGTGTGTGTGTGTGTGTGAGACAGTGTGTGGTGTCAGTACATTTTTACAGCTAATCTCTTCTTGGCTTTTCCTCTTCAGAAAAACCAGGGTATTCTTCTGGGTGTGGCAGGCACAGATATTCCCATTCAGGAGCTGATGAAGACCGTCCCTAAACACAAGGTAATGTTCACACATTTACACCAGAGATGCTCACACTAATGAATAGAAATTATTGGTGACACTCTAATTAAAACCTGTGGTAGTTACCATCCTGTAAAAAGACACTGGTTTTATTTACTTGTTATCAGCCATGTTACCATCTTTGGTCTAACTGTCCCCTCAACAAAAATCACAATTTATTTTTTGAATAAAATGTTGCCATAAAAGTTTGCCATATATCTTCGTAAGCGAAATCATCCTAAATCTGGCCAGTATGTTTAACATTTCTTATTATGCGATTGTTGCAAGAATATTATGATTCTTTTTTTCTTGATGTTTGTAATTTTGGTTAATTTCGTCTAGAGACTGACAGAATTTTTGCTTATTTCAAGACATATAGCCAAAAAAATAATGCATGAAAACAAAATTTTGTGCCAATAAAGTAACAATATTTGACTAGACACAATGACTTGAAAGAAATAATAATAAAAAAAAGCCTAAATAATGTTATAATTTTAATACAGAAATCCAAAAAATGAACAATATTAAATAAATTTGTGTATTTAAGATGATTTCACTTGCCAATATATATTTTTTGCAGTGTGGAAAAATGGTGCATCGTTTCAGCAAATGTGTCTTAAAACTGAATTTGATGAGAACTGACATTTATAAAATTGTTATACATCTTTTTCATTCTTTTCCCCAGCTGGGAATACATGGTTATGCATTTGCCATCACAAACAATGGCTACATCCTCATGCATCCAGACCTCAGACCGCTGGTAAGGAATCTTGCTGTGGTTGTGCTTTTTGGAACTGCTCATCCTACACACAGACGATGACGTTGCACGACTATATATTTTTTGTAGTTGTTTATTCACTACAAATGCACAGCAGAATCACCAGGATTACAACCTACAGCAATAACCTTGAAGGGTCCATATCATAAAAAATCTGATTTCTCTTTCTTATTTGCACAAAGAGGGTTTAACATGGTATGTAAATATATACAGAAAATAAGCTGCAAAATTAGACTCTTTTTATCATGATTGTGATGTCACAACTTTGGAAACATTTACATACGACCATTTAGTCTATATGAGCTTAGCCACCAGCCGCATTCAAGTGGTGTGGAATGTTGTTCCTGCAGACAGTGTGTAACGGTTTAGCTCTTTTTGGCTATTTGGGATGTAAATGGATCATTGCAGCCTTCCTAAGAATCCTCATATCTGAAAGGATCCCAGAATTTTTGCCAGTCAAAAAGTAGCTTGTTTATATATGTCAATCTTTAATACGTAGTAACAAATACAGTTTGTTTACTTCTAAAGGAAAAAGGAGAGGCTGGATAACGATAATGTAAAAATGAATTACTTGTGAAGAACACACACAAGAAATAGAATATAGGCCCTTTAAAAAACTCACTTTAAATCTGTGGGCTGTCATCCAACAATGGTGATTTTGTTCCAACAATGGTAGTTTTGCCTTAGATATGCTTGTACAATACTGTAATGCACCTGTTTAAAACATGGCAACTGACTGCAGTTAGCAAAACTCTATTGCTCAAAAAACTCAAAACCTAAATTTAAGGTAGGAAAATCCTTGACCAGGGTGTAGTGTGCGCACGTGGGAGAGTGCTGGGTGGAGGCGGAGGTGCATGCTGGAGTTGTAGTTTGTAATGCGAACCCTTTTCCTTTGATGTATTGCATGCAGGAGTAAAAGCTCCTTCAGGTGCCTGCCAGGTCTGGGCTAAAAGCCGAGGTAACACAGAGACCCTCCTCTCCTAACGTTCAGTCACTGTGTACGACTGTGTGTGTGTGTGTGTGTGTGCGTCTGTTACCGTGTTAGTGTGGCTACAGTACGTGCCGCTATGTGTATCAGTGTGTGTTCGTATACACGTTATGTAAATCACACCAGCCTACACACAGCCATGCTGAATATGTGCGTGAGAGTGTGTGTATGTGTTAGCGGATATAGAGTGTGTGTACTGACCACACTAACTGTGTGTTACTGGATAGTGTTGGGCTGGACTGGTCAGTGGCTGTACTGTGTTGACACTGTAAGGGCCTCCGAGGCTTATTGTATTAGTTGAAGTACAAACTAGGGCTGCACAATATATTATTTGTCAATCAATATCATAATATTGGCCTTTACAAAATTGATACTATATAAGGCTGCATTTGGAAACAAGCTCTAACCAGTCACACTTTTCTATTTGTGGTCTGAACATTTTGACCAATCTAATCAGATGGGTTTTTGTGAATGTCTTGAGGAATCAGGATGTCCTTGTATCCCCAACAATAGTATTAAGAATTATATTGGTCAAAATAATCAGGAGTGTGGGAATTGGCTGATATCTGCTATTTTTCATATATACATTTGACGTTTATAAAATGTAGAAATTGGTACTACCTTTACGTTTTTGTAATATTTACTTAAATTGAGTTAAAAAGCAGTAAATGGATAAACTATAGAGATTTTAGCACAGTAGACTAGTGTTATCTAAACTGTTCTTTTGGAGAACAATAAATGCATCATCATATGTTGGCTTGAAATATCATTAAAATCCATACTATCTATTTAATGGTGACAATTACATATGTGACTTTTAACCATGTAACATCAAAGGTTCAGCAATGTGTTTTTAGTATATTTTAGGGCTGGGATGCAACTTATCAGTAAGGGCTCCCAATCTTGGTTGGTGTATGATTTTTATTTTACTCAAAAAAACATGGCTCGTTCATCCCAAAGTAAATTTAGTATACTTGATGAACTTGCACTTTGAATTGTTTTGACATCTGTCTCAAATACAAGGATTCAAACAAAATGTTCTAGATTGTCTCACTCGTTTCCACCATCACTAGGATTCTCCTAAATAAGGCAAGGGTTTTTTTCCTCTGCTAGCACATACTTTAATTGTAACCCTATAAGAAGCTGCCACAATTGCCTAGCTTTAAATTTGACTTGGGTATTGGGCCTCTGCTTTGGCTTGGAGCTCCTTATATTAAAAGAAACAGAAAAACTACTGGAGCAACCATGAGCTCTGATGTGAAAGATTAGATTATTATATTAATATTAATGAGTACTTTTTCAAAACTGTGCATTTTTGTTTTTTTGTCTGTAGAGCTCAAACTTACATTAACATGTGTACCATTTTACATTTTAATTAACCATATTTATTGATGTTGTCTATATCGTGCAGCCCTAGTACACACTGCTCAAAGTGAACTAATGACAGTTGTCCACTCCAAAACCTTTGTTTCATTTGTTACCTAACAATATTATCTGTCTTGATTACAATAACCTTTTCTGAAGTGGACATTAGAAAGATTTTAAAACTTTTGGTAGCGGTTTTTGATAGTATCACTGACACTAGTGTGATTCAAGCTGTATTGGCTCACACTGGTTAAAGATGAAGTGAATTAAAAGAAAGGAGGTTTCCGCCATTTAAAAAGCTACCGCAGAGACTTGGGGGTAGGCAGTCCTCCACGTTTGAGCCAATCCTACAGTCCAACCTCATGTTGTTCAAAGCATTTTAGACAGTCAACATTAGTATCTCGCAGCTAGACTTCTTTTACAGGAACTTGCAGAAGCAAACTTAACCATTAACGTTGTGGTTGACCCTATGATACCCATCATTGTGCAGGCTGTTTTTGTATACCTCCTGTTTACTGTTTTTGTAGATTCATGATTTGAAATCCACCAACATGTATTATTTCAGCATAGTCTGAAATTTTGATGAGTCTTTTTTGTTGCACCAATGCAATGATGGACCAGGGGGGTCTAAAATACTTAAAGTTTGTCTAAAAAGTCATAGTAAATGCAGTAGAAAATTCACTGAAAAAAATCGGTTTATTTTTCATGACATCAGCACATGGTTTGTAAGATTGGTTTAAAACTCCTGCAGGAGAAAAGCTGCCTACCCCTGAACTACACACATCCTGTTTCTGTCTTGTTGACATCCTGTGACTCGTGTGTTCCCAGATTTATTACTCTGCTCTTGCTGTCTGTTAAACTGTTCCTGTGTGTGCATGTGTGTTTTTGTGTGTATGTATAGTACCAGGAGGGTCAGAAGAGGCGTAAGGCCCATTACAGCAGTGTGGACCTGTCTGAGGTGGAGTGGGAAGACACTGATGATTTTGTATGAACACTTTTCTTTCTCATAAACTGGCCTTGTTAGTGAATGTGTTAATTTGGAAAGTAAACACTGTTCAAAATGTAACCTAAATATGATGTATACTTTTTGATGCTTTTTTCCTTTACAATTTATACTTCTCGTTTTTTATTTTGTTATTTCTGTACTTGTTAGCATAGTTTTAGTTTAGGAAGTAAAATTACAATATTAAAAAAGCTGAAACTTTTGTCCTGGAACTAATATTGTAAGATATATTGTCACTACCTTGTGTGTCCAATGTGGCAAATTTATTGGAGAAGGAAAGAAAATTCTCAACTTGTAATGGAAGTCAATGTAGTCAGTTTTTTCCAGGTAAATCTGGGTTCCTAAAGTTTTCAGATGATGGAAAATAGTAAGAAAAGGTTAGAAAATGGAGATACAAGGTTTTTGTGTGACAGCGGGGAGATGCCTCTGTTAGCAAAATTTAATCACCTGTCAATTATATTCATCATAAATATATGTACATATATATATATATCTGCCACTTTTATTAGCTATACAGTTTGTCCCCATTTTGATCTTAATGAAGTTGAATAGCTTATATTTGTAGAGCTCATTAAAGTTATAGATGTGATGAATTTTGGAAGCAGTTTCTAGTTGATCCAGCAGTGTTGCACTGCTATTTTTCCTCTGCAGTTGAGGACCGCCATGGTGAACAGGAAAACAGGAACTTTCTCCATGGAGGTGAAACGGACTGTGGACAAAGGGGTGAGGATGTACTTTCTTCTCCCACTTTCTTAAGTTCAGCAAACTCTTTTATGCTGTTAAAAGTACTTTAAACATTCAAATTGCTTTCAGACTTACTCCTGTTTTTCCTGTACAGAAACGTGTTCTGTCAATGCACAATGACTATTACTTCACCGACATCAAAGGAACTCCGTTCAGGTATATAAACTGTTCTTTGTGTTTTCACAGAATAAAACTGGGTAATATAGTAGTACTGAAATCATTAATAACTATTATTATTACTATAACTATACTTATTCTAGAGCTTAACCCCAAAGTAGTTACAGTAAAGAGCATACCTGTGTGTTTTTGTGTGTTTAGTGTTGGAGTGGCTTTGTCTCGAGGCCATGGAAAATACTTCTTCAAAGGGAATGTTTCTTTGGAGGCAGGTGAGTCTCTCTCCTCTTATTTCTCTCACCTTATTGCTCAGTCACTCACTTTGGTCATGTTTCATCAGCCTGGTTGAAATCACCTATTAAGCCTTTGAGTGATGTGTAGACTTGATATTATGAAGGCAGAACCTGGAGCTTCTTGTTTGTTTATGTGTCCATCTATTTATATATGTTAAGTTACAAATTATTAAATAATTATGCTTTTTCACTGTGTTTGTGACCTTTGCACCTGAAGTAATAACTTTATACTGCTGCATTCTGCAATGTCAGCTTGACCTCACACAGCTCATCACACAAACTGGCCACACGCTGCTGGACTTTAGTAATAGGGGCATCCCTTTAGGGGAATTGCAGAGGGAAGATCAAGTTAAATTCAGCAAGGAAACTGGGCCAGTTTAACACTCTTTTACCTGCATATTCAATCCCTCACTCATTCACTTACTATTCATTCCCTCATTCAGTTGCTCCCTCTCTCTCTGTCTCCCCCTTTTCTGCAGTCTCTCCATCACTCACTGAGTGACTTACTCACTCACTCACATCCTCACTCTTTTTCTCACTTACTCACTCTCTTCCTTGCACTCTCATCATTACCACACACACTCATTTCCTCTCACTAACTCATTCATTCACTATAAAAATTTGTGCTGGCCAATGGGGCCACCAAGCCAGTGAATCTTATTGCTAAAATTAAGAATTTGTGGACAGAATATTAAAACATGTTTATCATATATACATTGGATTTAGCATTAACAAGCATGCTTCAGTACCAAAAACCTATCAGGTCCTTTGCTTAGAGTTCCCCATGTCCACTCTTTTTTTTAGTACGTCAGTCAAACCAGAGAATGACATGAAGGGATCCTCGTTCTTCAGTTTGCCAGACCGAAGATTTTTATTGTTCGACCCAACTGACTCACCTCGATCTTCATCAGACTTCGATCAGTCACCCCTGAGTGTTTGTTAATGGGATCATTGCACTATAACAGTGTGTTAAAAGCTTCACTCCCAGTGAAGAATGAACTTTTAGTGTCTGCCTGTCACAGAAACTGGTGATAGAACATTACATCCTTCATCTTTCAAAAATTATACTCAATTGATATCATACCAAGGCCTGTTTATTTTCTTCCACTCAACTCTGAACTTTTTTTCTCATTTGTGTTTGTTTTTTTAATAGTGAATATTCAAAGCAGTTCTGTGTCCAACCAGACAAGCTCTAGATGTTGTGTGGGAGGGTGAAAAGTATTTGTGAATGTGTGAAAATTCACTTGTTCTGGTGATTTTTTAAAAGGAAAAAAAACACAGGACAAGTGGTCCAGCCACAAGCTTTGCGTTTTCAATGACCAAAATGAGAAATTTGACTAGGGGCATCATTCAATGTGTTGACCTCTGCTCAGTGTAGTACTTGCTCTATTTTTCTCTCACTAACTTGTTCACTCACTGCCTCACACATTGGCTCACTCACTTGCTCATTCACTTACACACTAACTCATTCACTTGCTCTCTTCCTCACTCACTATTACACTCACACATTCTTTCTCTCACTAACCCACTCACTCACTCCCTTTCTCATGCTCATACTTATTTTCACACTCAATTTCCTCTCATTATTGTATTCACTCAGTCTTGCACTCACTCAGCTCAGTTGCTCATTCACTCTTAAATTTGGCTTTATGAATGTAGTACTTTAAAAATGAGAGTTTATGCTGTGTTGTAAAAACAGTCAGTGTTAATTGCTGACTTTGCTTATAATGTATTTGTGTGCCAGGTCTCCGTGATCTTGAGCAGCCGGACGTGGCTCTAGCACATGAATGGTAATGCATTTTTACATATTAATGAAATAAAACATAACAGGTGAATTGCGGAGGTGTGAATTGAAATGATTTGCATGTTGAATACTATGAGTCTGTGTGTTTTCAAAAAGATGAAAAGAAAGATGCAAACACAGTCTCACGATTTGTAGGAATTGCACAAGTGCTGAAATGAAAATTGAGAATGGTTGAGCTTTAGGCCAGGAATGGGTTAATGGTACTGGCAACTTTATGCCCTTCAGTGATAACTGAATCACCTCCAGTCCCATAGAAGCTCTAGCACCGAACTGTATCAAGGACTCCGTAATTAGCTGATGAGTTCATGCAGGTGTATTAGAACAGGTGTCATTGCAACTGCAGACACATTTCACAGTTCTTGACCAGAGCATCAAATTTGAAAGGCTTTTTGTTGTACAGGTTAACAGCTCTTTAAATTTGATGCTGTTAATTTTGTTATGCTATTTAACGTAGTATGATTAATTCTGTTATAATTACAAAAGGTGTTGGGTCTGTTTAATTATGTCGTGTCACAAACCTTATCCTACTATTGTTCAGTCCTTTCTCAGTTTACTTCTTATGTTTGTTATAACTGTATTGCCTGATAATGTTTGGACCGGCAGGACTTACTGCAACACGGATGAGCATCACGAGCACCGTTACCTGACGCAAATTCAGGCCATCAGACTCTACCTGACTGGACGCAAACCGCATCTCAAATGTAAGTGACCCACAAGAAATCTCATACATGCCTGAGTCGCTCCCTTAGTTACCACATTTACCCATAAGGCTGAAATATGCCTTATAAAGAAAAAACACGTCACCACTGAAGAAACTGGTGTGGGATGTGAGTATTTGTGCACAAAACTACTAAATGCATCTAAGGGTACTCACTGCATAGATACATAAGATATTACAGATTAAATTCTTGTAATTACATTATTTACTGAAATAAGAATTTCGTTACTTGTGTTACCTCTATGTCTCTAAAAGAACAATTTTACAATCTGTGGAAGAATCGAATCATGCTAATATGAAACCGATGGTTAAAGATCCCCATGCTAAAGAAGAAGGAGACAAAACCTCAGTTGAGCAGACGATACTTTATATTTAATTTTGAGGAAGCTGTTTTTGGTCAGTTCCTATTGACAAGTTTCTAGGCTTTAAAATAGCTTTAGCTCTTCATAATTTCAGTAAAGCATAACTGGTTGTGCATTATTTAGAGGCAGTTATACTGACAGGCCTTTAAAATGATTTCTGAATAAGTTACTGAGAAGGGCTGTTGGGTTTCCCTTTGTACTTTCCAGATGTATGTGTGTTTTACAGAGTAGTGCAGATATAAAGTAACAAGTAGTGAGATTACTCTTTTCTAAGATGTAATAAGTAAAGTAATCCCATTACAGATTCAAAGAAATTTGTCAATCGTAACAGATCACCTTTTTTGTGTAACTATCCCAATACTAGTTCTTAGTATTCCAACATCATTTATCTAAAATACACATTCAGACAAGTCAGAAGACAGACTTCAGCCTACTTTTAATTTAGCTTTGAATTAGATTTTTAAAGAACATTATTGTGTCCAGTTTATGTTCTTGTGCACTTTCTTTGTCCGAGTAATGGCACAGGGTTTGCCGGGTTTTTTTCTTTGTTGCCAACTAATTGCCTCAGTGATTTGAACATCGTCCTCATTATGAGCTGATGTAGCTGGGTGTATTAAGAGTGTGTAAGTGTCCCCTGTGGCTTGCTGTAGGTGACAGGGAGCTGATACAGCAGGTTCTGTTTGATGCTGTAGTGACCGCACCACTTGAGGCTTACTGGACTGGACTGGCCCTCAACAAGTCAGAGTAAGTCTGGACTTAAAATCATAGTACAATGTACAACATCTTAATGTGTTTTCTTTATTAAAATGATGTAGTTCAGGGAACTACTCGTTTTCTCTTTTACCCCAAATGTTGTCCAGGACATATTTGGTCTCTGAAGTTTGCATCTTTAGTTTTGCACTGGAGCTATGAAACTAATGCAGCTAACAAGTGATGTAAGCAAATATAGCTGATAAATTCAAGCTTTGAGATGCTGTTTCTGTTTTAAACTCTGAGATTTACTCTGTTTGTAAATAACAGTGTGTCATACAGTGTTATAAACCATATAATCAAGTCTATTTGAGATTACTAAACATCTTGACATGTTTTGAGTTGACTTTATACATACAGCTGGTATGATGATAGTTGATGGGGAACAAGTTTCTATTACTTCTATTACTTGCTAGCTACATTAACCTCATAGTTCAAGTAGCAGACCTCAGACACCGAGTGTCCCCTTTGGGTGAAGGGTGAAAACTGTGTACTTTTTCTCAAAATTAGTATTTTAAGACTGTGAAGGCTTCCATTGCTAATGATGGAAAAGTAGTAAAAGTAACTTAGCATTTTGGGATAGCACTTCCCCTACACGAAAACTTTATATATACCTAAAGAATAAAGTGCTTCTATTTGTAACAATGTTATGTAACTCATTGAAAGTATCTACTATTGTAACAACATTAAATACTTGTTATCTGTGCTGTGTACAGAAACCCAGATAAAGGAGTGGAGATTGCTTTCCTTGGAACTCGCACTGGCCTCTCAAGAACCAACCTGTTTGTTGCCCCGGAGCAGCTGACCAATCAGTGAGTACCACCAGACTGACCAATCCCAGAAACTGATGTTACACCGTCCAATAAATGAATCATAAGAAACTGGGTTCGGCTGCAGTATTGTAAAGCATGATAAAAATAAAAGTCGAAGTAGAATGAAAAACAATACGACATATGAACTATAGATAAAATATGGAATGTTATATATTTTGTCTGCATGTGTGTTTTGAGGGACCTGCTAACGGCAGAGGATAATGAGGGGGTTTTTAATGCTGATCACTTTCCGTTGTGGTACAAAAGAGCAGCTGAGCAGGTTCCAGGCACCTTCGTCTATTCTATTCCTTTTAGTTCAGGTAGGACACAAACACACATACTTGAGGTTGCTTTCCAGAGTGCATTCTTTCCTGTATCAATTTAAAAACACAAGGCTCACTAATATTGATAATTGTAAGTTACGTTTCAAAGGCGTATATCTGATTAATTGACATGATTCTGCCAATTAAATTCTATGTGGAAAAAGGAGACACATTTGGCTTCAGATTCTTTTCATAGTTGTGGATTTGGCGCCATCTAGTGGCTGGCAAGATGTTCACTTTTGAAAAGTTTGGGTGCCCCCTAGTCAAATTACATGTTTGTAGATTAAGTTAACACATTAACACTGTTCTTCACTTCTGTACATGTTAATGCACAATTACTGTTTATTTGCTGGATTTAACATTACTATACAAATGTTCTACTACATTTTATATTTTATGTTTTTTTGTTTCCCCAATATATTCAACTCAGCAAATACATTGAAATTGTGCATTAAAATTTGCAAAGAAATGCCATGTTAAAGTGTGTTCTCTGTAAATGATGTGTTAACTTATTTTCACTGGTGTTCAGACTTTTGCATATGACTGTACACTACCTACAGTGTGATGCTAAAGGGGTGTAAATGTGTATGTATTTTAGCACGAATGAATAAAAGTGTGGTGTTGGCCAGTACTGCTATTCAGCTCCTGGATGACAGAAAATCCCCTATAGCAGCAGGTCAGTACAGCTTTCTGTATGTTTTTACAGACGTTGGTAAACAATGTTATCACATTCTAATACCTTAAAACTGATGCTTAAATTAATTTGTTTATACGTTTGTGTTCTCTTATGCTGTCTGCAGCTGTTGGGATTCAGATGAAGTTGGACTTCTTCCAAAGGAAATTTTGGACAGCCAGTCGACAGGTGAACCCTTATGAAGAAAATAAAAGCACATTTAACTAAATCCTGGTTCTACATCTGTCTATGTCTCCTTTTTATATGCGTTGAGTTTTCCAGGTTTCAAGGTTTTTATCCCTCTCAAATACTGCAGATAGATTCAGTAAAATTCTTACTTATCAAACGTCCCTTAAAACACAACACAATCAGAAAATTTACAGCAGCGTACAGTTCAGTAAAACGAATACCTTTATGTACAGTACGCATAACAGTGGTGTGTAATAGTTCATACTGGTACGTTGTGTATATTAGCGTACCGAATGCTCCCCCAGGTTTATTTCTGATATTTATATACTGTATATGAATAATATCAGAGAAAAATGACTACATTATACTATATTAGTAAAAAGATCAGAAAGCGGATTTTTATCGTGGATTTTGCATGAATAGATAAACTAGACTAAAACTAAGTGTGATATAAATCTGCTCTCTTTACTGCACAGTGCAATGCTCTGGATGGGAAGTGCACCATAAGCTGTGATAATGAGGTAACATCTCTCTCTTCTCTCTTTCGCTCTCTCCCACTATGGTCTTGGCTGCTGGCCTGTTTTAACCTCCTGATATCTAACGGTCTTTCCTCTCGAGTCACTCTTGAGTCACTGAGAAATGAAACAGAGACATACAGCATTGTGTAACTGTACCTAAGAAATACCCTTTTATATGAATTTTATTTAGCAAGGCTTCATACTTTATCATATGCTTTCTTAGAGTAAACTGGTATACGCTTTTTTGCCTTGACCAAAGGGATAAGATTCCAAAAAGTTCTGAGAAAAGTTTAGATCTAGAACATATACACCAGAAAACAACTACTCACAACTTAGTAGTATCATTGAGTTGGCATTTAGTTACTGTTTCTAGATCAATGCTATTAATCTGAGGACTTTATAATGTGTGTGGGCTGCGCTTGTTTCTTTACCCTGTCAAGGTTTTAAACACGGTTGTCAGCCTCTTAAACTAGAAATGACTGCCTTTGTGATGTATTAGCTGTGTTGGGTTTATACCCTCCCTCTTTCTTTCTCACTTTTCTTTTTTTTATCAGGACATTAAGTGCTACCTCATCGACAACAATGGCTTTATTCTGGTCTCTGAGGATTACTCCCAGGTCAGTCTATTCAAGAATTTGTAGGATTTGTGACATGAGCAATTGTGTGACAAATTAACTTCAAAATAGAGATACGTATAAACCTGCCTTTAGTCTCAATCGTAACTGTTTTGAGTTACCTCATTTACATTCCAGTGAACTTCCATTTGTAGTCATGGGATTGTGGTTAGAAAGTCCTCTGCACTTCATTTATCTCATTTTAGTTTGCTTTAACAAGTAAACTGTCATTATACACTGTATATAAGACTGTTTACCATGTGTAAATAAGTAATCCACAAACCAACAGTGAATAGGACAGAACAGAAAGAATATAACGGTAGGTTCAGTCAGTAACTGTAACAGTCTAGAATTCAGTGTTTTTCTGCTCTAACACAAACTTCAACTCGTGATGGACTTACAGATAAGTGGATGAGTTGAATCAGGTACATTACAGCAGGGAAAATATTGACTTCTTCCATGTTCCTGCCCTCCAGGACTAGATCCTAACACTGAGGCACTAACAATGTGTATTCTACAGTAGTCGAGGCAGATAAGGCAAATAACACATACACAAAACAAAAACTCCACTTCTGACTGGCTATCACACTTTAAAGTGATGGTTCAGGTTGATCAACTAAGACACGTTTGGTGTCTGAAGTTTGGTGCTTTAGTTTTGCACTGGAGCTACACGTCTAATGTAGCTAACAGATAGTGGATGATTATACCCCAGTTCACATTTAGGATCATGTGAACTGCACATCTACATGATCACACACTTACCTTAAACTGTGTCAAGTTGTTGCGAAAACTGATAGACTTGCTTATGTGGTTTCTGACGTTGTGTAACATGCTGTCTATAAACATAGAGTACAGACAAAAAACAGGCTTGAAGATGGTTACTTCGTTTAGCTATGCAATGTACTTTGGCTCTTTTCTGTAGATAACAGTGTTTCACACAGTGTGAGAAACCACATGAGCAAGGCTATTTAAGATTACATCACAACACGCATGGTTTGAGGCAAGTACGTGGTGTGCACAGTGCTATTTAGTGGGTTATATATTTCCATTTGATGCAAATAAGTATTTAAGAATGCAAAGAGTCTGATATAAAAGCTGTTATAAACCTTTTGTCTCTTTCTGCCTTAGACGGGTCTCTTTTTTGGAGAGGTGGAGGGAGCGGTTATGAACAAACTGCTTCTAATGGGCTCATTTAAAAGGTGAACAGCCAACTATTATACAACTGCGGTGTAGATACACAAGCTTTGCTGTACATATATTTGTGTATAAGTACATACACAGTTCAGATATAAATATTACTCTAACGCACTCCCACACACACATGTACACTCACAGTCTTATGTGGCATAGAGTTGAGCACACATACACTGCACATGTACACATTAAACGCATTTTAATTTTTTTTTTTTTGAGACTTTTGTGTGTTTTGGTTTGGCAGTAAGTAGAAGTGGATAGTGTGATCAAAAATGTATATCACATTTTAATTAAGGTTACTGACAGTTTCAGTATGTATCATGTATTTATATATATTTTTCAAGGAAAGCTATTTTGAATGCTTAAGTAAACATTTCTTGTAGATTAACAATTGCATATTATTTTGCATGTCCCTTACTTTTGCTAAGAACTGTATTTAATAACTCAGGTAAATCTATATTTTTTTTTGCACACAGTAGTAAAAACAGAAATTCTCTGAGCCTGGCAAAAATGGTGCTGAATGTTTTATCTGGAAGTCATATGTGTATTTAATTCAGTACAGACTCAGCTTATTTTTACTGCCTACCCCCTGATAAGGTGATTTAGGTTATCAAAATATCTTAATTATTATTTTAATGCTGGTAATATTTTCTGATAAGGACATTCACTGGCTTTTTGCTCAGATTTCCTGATCTACCTTAAATGGTGCAGCAGTTACATTCTGATGCCTGAGACATTATAATAATAACTATTGCACCATTTAAGTTGAAACAGGAAAAAGGTGAACAAGAAGTTGGCAAATGCTTCGGCCTGGTGGTTTTAATGCTGGCAGGATTTTTTGAAAAGGTGATTTAAGCTGTCAGACTATACTACCTAGAGTTTTAATGTGCAGCTCTACCTATAAATATTCACCACAGTAGGACATTTCGACAAAGTAGCACAATTTGTTAGAACACTGGTAGTCTCCATGCTAGGGTAATGGCTAACAGCTAACCCCAAGAGTCTGGGCTTTTCCTTTCACCCTGTTTTCACTCGTTAACTCTTCACAATCTGATGTCACTCCTTTGACATTAAACTGAACTAACTGACCTCAGGCTGCAGCTCACTACATGACAGGTGCAGTAACATGACATACAGACAGTGTTTTGTCCTTCTTTTGGTATAAAAGAAATGATGAGACTAATACCTTAAGAATAATTTTAACTGGTATAACATATGAACTGGAATATCGCCCACTACCAACAGTAAGGTAATGTGTGTATGGGTTATAGTCTGAGCAGTGTAACATACATGCATACACACACCTTCCTCATACACAGTGTGTGATTGTATATCCTTTTCTCTGGCAGGATAACACTGTATGATTACCAGGCTCTGTGTAAAGAGTACGCAGGTAGCAGTGACAGCGCCCACACTCTACTGGACGTGAGTAATCATGCAGTCACATAATCTAAATACACCACTGGACTTTAGTACAATCATAAAAGAACTTAAAGGGGAATTGCACCTTTTTTTTCAAAATTGGTCATTAGTGCGTTGTAGAGAAATGGACCAACACTGATGTCTTTTCAGTGGTGCTGAAAGGAACCAGTGTTCATAATGTCCACATGCACATATAAATTTTGAGATACTGTTTTATGATAGTTTTGAAGTAAGCTTTTGGCTTAAAACATTAAAAAAAAGGCATCAAATGTCGACTTTTTTGCCTCTGTTTAGCTGGCCTACGCGTCTTCACCTGTACTGGGCAAGCGGCTGTGATTGTGTGTTTAAAATGGGGTAAAATCACACAGTTTATGTCTGGCTGGAATATATCAAGGCAGAATGTTTAAAGCGGCCACTAGCTTTGTGTCTGTCATGGAGTCAGAAACACTTTACTATGTGAGCAGAGCCGCCTTCACTGTGTTTGTTCGTAAGTGCAGCAGAGTACACTCGTCTTACATCACTTGGTATCAGTGGGTATCGGAATGTTGTTATTGGTGAATTTTTACAGTACAAGTAAATGACCACAGTATCGGCCCACATCTGTAGTCATATGTTTTGACGTAGTTTATTTAACAGTAACACGTAACTAATTTGCATTTTTGGGGCGTTTGGCTCCTGAAGGCCCTATGCGCTTGCCTACCATTTTGAAATCCCACTACAGCTCTGAAATGTGATTTGCAACCGTCACTTACTGCTGAACAAAATGTAGGTTACTGAATTGATACCTTGATGTGTAGAACTTATGTCATTACATTTATATGTTGTTCCTTTTTTGAATAGAAGAACATCTTTTATGTTACCAAGCAGTAATTAGATCATTTTTATTTTGCCTAAATAATTAATTTCAATGTTTAATGTTATAGCCTTCAGACCTCTGATAGTGGTTTTTGTTAATTTATTTCTGTCCTTTTTCTCTTTCTTTCAGCCCTTAGCCACTGTGAAATGGCTTCTGGGTGAACTCATCATGTAAGGGAAACTTTTTTGCTCAATTGAAGCACATTTAGCCATCTTCTCTTCTTTAAACTTTACTGAAATGTCATGCTGGATCAGGTCTGAAGAGGTATTTTGTTCATCACAGATTCCTGTTGGAGTTTAACTTGTACAGCTGGTGGAATGTGGACTCTGCTGCTAAAGGTGACTATGTTATGTCATACGTTTATATATATATGTGCTTAAAAACAAACTCTGTAAATACAAATAACTTTGTAGATTTGCCCTCTTTGTCCTCAGAGCAAAAGTATTAGTGAGTATTTCTTTGAATGTGTGTGTTTCAGCTGAGAGAGCTCAACGGAGGACCATGATGGTTCCGTGTGACACAGAATACCCAGCCTTCGTCTCTGAGCGCACGATCAAGGAGACAACTGGCAGCATTGATTGTGAAGGCTGCATGAGGTGCTTTTGTGTTTGTGTGTGTATTTGTTAATCTTTGCTTGTGTGTAACCTAAGATTAGCACATATTGTATAGTAAATTCCAACAAAACAACTATTGAAGTCTTTTAGCTGGTATTCTTTCTGAGAAAAGGGGTAAACGAGGTTAGTTTACCCCTTGAACTGACAACTTATTATTTAGCTGTTAATTTCAAGACTTATTATTCAGTAACTCCTACAGATTGGTTTTATAGTAGTTGCTAAACAATTTATATGTTCTGTAGTTTTGAGTGAGGAACTGAAGGCAGTTGGAGCCACATACATACTGTCCATACTCTGTGTGTAGTACAATAACCCTAGTACAATATGTAATCAGCGCTTGTGTGCTGCATAGATGCATAGTTACACAAAACAAAGCATTGGATGTGCTTCTGGGTGGCTATAAATATCTTCCCCTGATGATAAGTGGAACAAGAGGAGAGAATTGTGGGTAATGAGACTAAGCAGCTCATAGAAGGTCTGTGGTTAACAGGCTTTTTTATGCTCCAGTTCAAACGCTGTGGCCTGTGTGTAAAAGTGTGCTGCTGCTCGCATGAAGCCTGAATTCATTCAGCCTGAGGACTTCAGCCATGCTGAATCGAAACTGTCACTATTGTTAAGTGCTCATACTTAAAACTTACTAAGAACTTAAAAATGTCTTCTACCTTTAATTATTTATTCAACACTTTGTGATTTCAGTGAAATAATACTTAAAACAGTATTGAATATAATAAAGAATGTAGTTACAGTGTGGATAAACACCAGGAATTATACATGTAAGTGTATTTATTTGCTGTTTTTATGGGCAGAAAAACAACTTGCAGCTAATCAAAGTGGCTGCCTGTAAATTTACCCTCCGGTCTAAGAAAATTTTAACCTAGCATACCTACTTTTGATGCTTAAGTACATATTAGTGTGAATGGTTCAACGCTTGTCTTTGTTTTTGTTTGGATGGTTTAACAGTGTGATGTTGCATCCATGTATGGAAACAAAGAATATTCTTCCAACACTAAAAGAAGTGATCAACTGTGATAAATTCTTTCGCGACAGATTGTCTCCTGAATATTCACCTTCTCTTCCTCAACTCTCTCTCTGTCTCCTCTCTCTCTCTCTCTCTCTCTCTCTCTCTGTTGCTCTCTCTTGCAGAACATTTGTCATTCAGCAGATACCCAGCAGTAACCTCTTCATGGTGGTTGTGGAGAACAAATGTGACTGCAGTTCTGCCCCTCCAGTCACTATGGAACCGATTGAGATCATCTATATCCTTCAAAAGGAATTTAAAGACTTCATCAGATTGTATATTTTGATCTTCTTTGTGTGTTAAAATGTAAAATGTAGTTTCAACAGGATTTTCACTGATTTTGATGCCCACAAAAGACACACACACTTCTACTTTTTTGGTACTACATGTGTTTGGTCTGGGCAAGTATTCTCAGTATGTCTCCTTTCACATTTCCTGTGTCTTGTGCCTTTTGTAAGAACATCATTTTGTCACCTTTGTGTACATATTAGCTTTAACCCCTAAACACATAATGAATCTCTTAAGTGTGAAAGGCTAAAGTTTCAAAAGGACCGCAAACGTCCAGACTCTTGTCACCCTTTCCATCCTGAGGTACGGTGTGCATGTGTTCTTCTGTACATTTGTGGGTTTACACATTCTGCCTTAAATAGTTTTATTTTTATTTTAGTGATTTATTTATCAGTGCCCATAACAATAAACAGCCTCAAAGAGAACTACAAATGAGCCAGAGTTAGCGCTCAGAAGCTAACGTTAAATTCTTGTCTCTGGACATATGATTTAAAACACCCTAAAATAGCTTGCAATAAAAATACAAATGAACATTCATAACAGAACACAGGCTGCACGTTAGTAAAGATGCACAGCAGAGCACATGTACGAAGTAGAGACAAACACACATAAGATGCCAGTATGACTTTACAACATAATAGAAATTCAAGCAAGCCTAGACCCAAGAACAAGACCTCAATGTTTGTATATCTTTCTGTGTGCATGTTCTCACAAGTACGGTAACTTGACAAAATGACTTACAAGGTCCTTTAGGTGGGTCCTCAGAGTTTACATGCATTTATTTTGTTATTATGCTCTTTCCAAAGCCTGTAAGTAGTTAAGGTTATAGTTAGAATTTATAGTATTTTGTTACAGAATCATCAGACGTTTTAATTAGGGAAAATGCACATTAATCAACATAAAGGTCAATGTGCCAGTGTGCAAACTTCAGCTGTGGTCCCTGAGGCCCTGATGGCATAAGCCAAAACCAAAATAAAATCGCTTACATACATACATATTTACATACATACATACATACAACACTAACTTTTTAATGGGCAACATAGATAACAAAAAGCTGCAATCTGTTTTGTTATCTAACACAGACAGGTTAGCTTACCTCTACACAAAATAGTCCTTCACCTTCACCCTCAAAACATGTTTCTACTAGGAACTGTACACTCACCAAGTTTACTGACGTCGTTTTGAATTTATTTCGTCCTATTTTAGCAAATTTCAAATAGGAACTATTTTGCAATTTTATGAATGGCACACAGTGTCACTGATGCAAAGCCTCACTTTTTCCCTGTAGTCAAAAACGATTAACATGGATTTTTAACATTAATCTATTCTATGTTGTATTTGAATTTCCCTAATAAATAAACAAATGCTATGGTGAGTGTAGATATCCAGATATTCAAATAACCTCCCCAGGTTTATATGAGACCTGTGGGAAACACTGCTGAGAGTGTTTGGTTGTGAAGTCAGGCTGGAGGGTCTTCTAATGTGTATGTGCATATATGTTGTCTATAGGAGAATGCTATGGAGTGTGGATCTGCTGCGACTCTGTCTCCGACGCTGGTGGCCGCTGTGTTCCCCCTCTTGACCTTTTTCATCTCCAGGTGACCTCTGATCTGACCCTTGACTTTCCACCAGGAACACCCTTTGGAGAAAGCTTCCTAGCTAATAGCTAAAGCCAAATGGGGGGATAAACTCAGTCAAATGCAGCTCACTGATAGAATCAAAATCATCATTATGACCTCAGAACAAACCTGCTGACACTTTAGATGGTGGATGACCTTGATGACCTTAATGAATGTCATGAAACTGTTCAAACACGGTGATATTGTTCTCAAACTAAGCCAAGAAACCCACACCATGTGGAAGAGTGGAGTTGGGTATGCAAAGCCAGTGTGCTCATTAAGTCACTGCTTTTTGCAAGGAGACCTTCACTCATTCAAAACCCATCAGCGTCATTCTTCACATTTAAACAGGAGCAACAGAGAAAAGGAATTAAGTTCCTTAATTTAATTCTCATTTGTCTGCCTCTCGTTTTGTTATAAGATAGAATTCAATTAAAACAAATAAGATGCATGAAAAGAGGGAAAAGAATATTTCACAGATTTCTGAATTCTGTCACTAATCATTTCATAGGTTGTAGAGAGAGCAGAGCATCTTTATTTCAGAAGCTTTATAAGTTTGCCTGCTTAAAATAATGAAAAATGAAAAAATGCTTAGTCCTTTACCTCAGAATGAAAGCCATTTGTTGTAAATAAAAGCTAATTTTTCCATCAAAGGTGCCATGTTGTTTTTCTAGGGTAAGTATTTCTAATTTGGGGTGGAAAGAAAGGTAAAATGGTGTCCTTCATAAACAGTCTAAAAGTGTTGTTGATACAGATTGTGTGTGTATGTAGTGTAAAAAATCAACCTCTGTGGAAAGTCTGTAACCTGACTTAAACATAACTGATGAAAAGGATGTGTGTTTTTGATTGGCAAAAGTCATGACATACATTCAACTGGTACATAAAAAGCGGGTACTCGAGTGCAGGATCTGACAGAAACAGAAACAGAATATGGAGAATTGAAAGAGGTATAGCAGAAACCCGACAGACTGTATTAGAAAAAACACTTCACCAAGCATCACAAGATACGTGTCAGTAAGTTTACCATAGACGTGTGAAAGTGGTTGCTATTGGGTGGAACTGGGTAAATGTGCATGTTCAAGGCTGTGGTCTGACTGAAAGCTGAATGTGCACCTTCTGAACTCAAGTTCTCTCTCTCTCTGACTTACTGTTGAAGTGGTCCAGGTACCTCCAAAATCTCCTTGAAATAACTAGTAAAAATGAATTTAATGCTTGTCAAACATGTTTAGGAAGTTTGAGTAAAACAATGCAGATAGAATGTAAACTGTAGTGCACTTTATTTTACTTATTTCGACTGTTTTGTTGGTTGTTTTGTTCTTTTCTAGTATCACTAACAGCATATCTAAAGAAGTTCTGGCTAAGACATGCCAACACATTTTATACAAGTGCAAAATAATATATAATTATTATATATAATTAATTATAATAACAAGTAACAAGTTATAGATAATGTTAATTCTGGAGTTATAATACTGTGAAATATATAAGACAGTGAGTAAAAGTATCAGGGCGTCTGTATCAGGCTGTAGACTGAATCTTTCTGTTTGGAGGCCACAGGGAGGTCAGGGATGGTGCAGTATGTGTGATACACATCACTCTGAAAGTATGAAAGAAAACAGAAGGAGGTCAGGGGTCAGCAGTGAAAGAAAAGCACAGTCTTCTGGACACACTAAGTTACTAGTGAGTCTCACTCTTTAATATAGGAGTTGTCCTGTGTAGAAACAGTGAATCCTGTTCTAACTAGACCAGAAGAAAGAGATCACAAATTAAAACTTGCTTTGTCTTCCTGAGGCACTGAATGAGCAGTGCAGCTGCAGCTGAGACAGAAATGTGAAACTATGTTTGCCTTTTGGCTCCAACCACAAGGAAATCAGTCTGTGGTTGAGTGTTTAGTGGAAGCCTTGACGTCTGACAGTTAACACAGTAGCTGATAGCAAGTTTACTAACCTCAGCCTTCTTAGAGTTTTCTTTTCCCTTTTTACTGGGACCTGAAATTCAGATCATTTAGTTAAAGCAGACATTTTTATGCATTAAGTAGAGCAGAACTGCTGACAGGTCATCACTGTTATAACAAACCTCTTATATGTCAAATGGTGACTGTACAGGAGAAGAAAAACATTTTCCTTTCTTTTACTAGTTAATATCAAAACAAGATTCATCCTGAGTCATGAAACTGATGTTTTCAAAAGGCAAACAAAAAATTGAGTTACAAGGTTTTGATATGACGGCGACAGTAAGTCTGTGTGCTGAGAAAGAGAATGATGGCTTAATTCTAATCCGCTCACTTCCTCTTATCTCTGCAGTAGTTACATTACTCAAAAGTACAGCTGTGAGGATCTGAAAGTGCTGCTCCAAAAACTACAGCCTTCTGTAAAGAGTCTTAGGAAATTTCTGTTCTTGTTATTTTGTCTGGTTTGTAAGCGCAAAATATATAAACTCCAGTGTTTCTGGAAGGTTTTAACACATCTGCTGCAGATGGTTTTACCTGGGGGCTCAAGCGGAGCTGCTATTGAGGTGATCTCGGAGTAGGTCTCAGCTTGTGGATCATACTGGACAAAAAAAAGCCTTTGTAAAACGTTCAGGACTAGAAACACAGCACTAAAGATAAAATTTTTATGTAATGCTAAATATAAAAAAATAAAAGGGGTTAATTTTTTTAAAAATAATTGTTGCTTGAAGAGATCAGTAGAGAAGTATCCTAACTTGTAGTCTCTCTCAATCCAGTTAAATAGTTTTTCAGAATATTTCTCACAAAATTCTGTTCATAAGTCCGTACTTACATCATCCCAATTTTGAATGGGTATCGTACTTCCTGCAAAAAAAGCCAATAAGCTAAATTTAACCAACAAGAATCCAGCCAAAGGAAATTGTTCAGTGATGAGGTTCTCAAAGACATCACACAGATAGAAGATAATCTTTATTTAGTGGAATTGAAAATCTTATGCAGAATTTCCACAAGAAGATTAAAGCTACTGTGTCAATAAATAGAATATTTTGAAATATATTTGTTCACTTCTTTCTGTAGTCTGATCAAAGAGGTCTGTAAACAAATCAGTACGTCAAAATTTCTGTTAGCTGAAAAATAGCATTTCCCTTTAACCTGGTAACATTTACCCACTGTAGATGCTCCTTTGTGCTCTAATTAAGTTCCTGCCTCTGAAATGCATTAGAGCTACAATTACAATGAGTTTGGATCCCATTTTTTAACAGTTTTTGTTGTTTTCTTTGTTTTACATTACTGTATTTAATCAGAGAGCTGGGTAGGTAGCTACGTGGTTTAATATACATTTATAAATGCAGTTTCTCTGGAAGCATTTAGAAATACAGCAGCTTTGTGTTTGTGTATCTTCCCTTTCTATAAAGAAGCTGAGTCTTAAGGATGAGTTTAGTGCAATAACATCAACTTAAAAACTAACAGAATCAGGTTTATTTATTTAATAGGGTCAGTATTTCAATCTTTCTGTTGTCGTAGTCAGTGGGATTATGTATCCTCTGAGAAAAGACGTGCTGTCCTGTCTGCAACAATACAAATGGCAACCTACTTAACATCTACCTGCTGTGCTTCACCAACATGTTAAACACAACTCTTTTCAGTTATGGGTGCAATTTACCAACACAGGACACACACACTCAGAAAGTGAGTGTATGTTCACAGTTCATCTGAACACCTGAATGAAACACCTGTTTTATTTTCAACCCTTGTAATGCTTGAAAACAGTGTTTTTCCATAATTAGAGGGAAAATTTTGAATTTCATATCAAACTCTACACTGAAAATTGATTCCATGATGTAAATGATCTGTTGTACTACATAAATTACCTGATGGCTGGGAGGGTGCGGCCACTGTGGTAATCAGTGAGTAGGTTCCGGCAGCTCCTGGACGGCACTGAGTAACAGAGAATACATTTGTAAGCTTAGTGAAGCTGATCTGAAAGATTCATTGATTTGACTTGTGTCAGACACAGAACAATCTAATGACAGAAATGCTACTCACTTCCTCCACACTGAGCATGGCCATCATGTCTCCTGCAAAACAATCATTTTAGCTGACTGTGGAAGTGTTCTTAGTTTTAGTATTTATATTAGTAACAGTAGACATTTTGAAGAAAGCTTTCAAAGGCCAAACTTACCCTGATCTCCACTGGCTGAACTGACTTTACGTCTATTAAAATATATACATATATCAAAGCTTTCTGCATTTCTGTGAACTTACAAAAACATAAGCAGAGATATTATACAAGTTAAATGATTGTAGCTAATTACTGTATACATCACCTGAGAGTTTCTAACCTGGCAGCCCTCTGCTTTTCTGCAGTGGAAGAAAGTACAGCATTTTCAGTGATCAGATTCATATTTACCATCATACCACACAGTTAATTCTACACAGTCCAGTTGTGAAACTAGACAAAGCAAATTGAGTCAAATGGTTTTTCTTCACTGTTTGCACCAGTGAATCTCTGACGGACTTACTGCAGAGAAAGATGACCACTCCAACCAGTACAGCACTGGCACTGATTACTGACAGCACTACGACAAGCGGTGTTCCTGAATGATAATATGAAAATGAATGTTTCAGTGCAAACATTTCCATCATTATTACACAAATCTGCAGATAGTTTTGTCAGCAGCTTTGAATCAGTAATATTAGTTGTAATGGACTAAAAGAGACAGTGATATAAAACTAAAACCCAAATCATTATAGAAACTCTCCTACATCACCACTGTGATAGCTTTAGAAAACATTAATGTGTTAAAGCTCCAAAATGTACTTACTGAAAGTAAAAGGCTTATCAGGCACTGTTGAACCTGAAATAAAAATCAGAAAGAAACCCAAACAAACGTTGAGCTAAGCAGCTACATTTCAACTGAGCACAGTCATTTACAGAAAGTGTGTCTCTGTAGAGGATGTATTAATTTTGTTTTCACTTAGAAAATCAACAAAACAAGTCATTTGACCAAATTTAGTGTTGAAACTAACACATATGACTGTATTTATTTCAAATTTGTGATTAAGCATGACATGAACAGATGACGAGATCACTCACTTCTGACTTTCCTGTTATTTCCTCCAGTTTTTCACAAGTAAAATCATGGCAGTATGAATGTCTCTGCATGGCACTGAATTTAGTAGTTATTCAGTTATTTACCTGCTGTAGGATGTTTTTCTGAGGTGGCATTCACTGTAACTCCCTTAACTGTGGAACCTGAGAAATAGGCAGAAATGAATAAAATTCCAAATGAGTCAAAAACTTCCTAAAAGTGGTTCTAAAGATTAGAGAGGGGATTTAGTGACTCACTCTGTGGTTGTGATGATCTGTAATCATCATGGCGATAGGTAGTTTGAGTTGTTCCAGCTGTAAAATGTGTTTAGCTCATAGCTTATCGAACAAGTATATCGACATGAGCAAGTTTATACGTAACGGACCTCTATAATATCTATTTATTTAGATTAACATTTTACAATAAAATTAATCTATAAGTACAGCCGGGACTCACCAGTGGATGAAGGCATTGCTGTCTTAGAGACTGGGAGAGGTGCAGATGAAGCTGCTGAGAATTTAAAAGTGCATAAACATTCAAGAGGTAATGGGATGTAAGATATAAGAGGATCTTCTCATAAAGACTTCTAAAAAAGTGCTGTATATGTCTACACACTTAAAAAGGATGGTTCTTCAGGGGTTCTTTAGTAAAAAAAAATAGTTCTATATAGAACTGTGAACACTGAAAGAATCCTTCGCATGATTAAAGGGTTCTTTGCATCGTGAAATATTTTTTCAGATTCATGGAGAATGTGTTTTATATGGTTCTATATAAAATCTTTTTGAAAAGGGTTTACATAGCACCAAAAAGGGTTCTTCTATTGTTACAGGCTTGACATCTTGACAGTAGAAGAACAGTGCTATATAGAACCCTTTGGTGCTATATAGAACCCTTTTTCAATAAAGTTCTATATAGAACCCTCTTAAGCACATTCTCTATCAATCTGAAGAACCCTTTAATCGTGTAAAGTTTTTTTTTGAGTGTTCATGGTTCTATACAGAACCATTTTCTTTACTAAAGAACCCTTTAATAGTGTAGTTTAATGTATGCATGCCATAGTCTGTTCATAATGCAACAGCCACTAATTAGGTCATATCTTTGTTTTTAAATGTGACATTAACTCACATTTATTGAATTTTGACAGTGATGAGTAGAAGTGTTTGGGGCAAAATGTACAGTATAAATAAGTGATTACTGGCTCTGATCCACAGTAATATTTTGAGAAGCTCAAAGACTTTATTTCATAACTTGGACTGTTTAATTTATGCTGAATAAGACTAGATGCTTGTAAACTATTTATCTTGCAGTTTATATTGAGTCTAGTAAGGACTGAATCAATAACTCACTGGCTATAGCGGGCATTTTGGTCACAATAGACGAACTGGGAACTACAGGTGACCCTGTGGAAAATGACACAGCTGTTTAGAATACAACACAGAAACATCTTAAACAGATAGATTTGTAAAAGAAATCAATAAAGGATTTTGTAGAAACGTTAACATTAGAGTATTTGTAAGTGGAATTATTAAACAAGAAAGCTTGTTACTCACTAGTTGTTGGGCCTTTTGTGGTGACGAGTGTGGAGGAAACTGAAGAAACTGCAGATATAATACACAATACATTACAAAGGGTAGTTCTTGTTATTCTAAGTAAACTGTGGTAGCTGAAGGAAGATCTAACCTGCAGTAGATTTCTCTGTTATGGACGGCTGTGTTGGTACAGGAATTAAATCTAAAAGAAACACAAACAGAAAATACATTTGATCATTACATTAATGCAGAATAAAATAAACACACTACAAGTGTATGAATAATGCACATATAAGCTGATGTACTTACGGGATATATCATATGTGTCACTCATTGGAGAGCGGGCGGACGGGTCAGAGTTTAGTGAATAATCACAGCTCAGTTCTCTGCTCTTTACTGACTGCAGACGATTCAACAGGTCAGTTTTAGATGCTGTAAAAACAGCAGCTCCACTTCCCAGAGTTTCCCTCTTCTAGATTCTCCTTTTAGGTACAGCAGGTGTCCAGTGTAGAGATTACATCTAAAATCAGCTCTTACTGACCCTGACAGCGGCATTTCACACACAGCTGTGAACTCTTCATACTGACTGTCATAATGACACTCACTGCTGGTTTCTTATCTGCAGAGAAATAAAGAACACCATTACACAATCTTGGTGTTGACTGAATAACTGATAGACCAATTATGTAAACATACTTTTTAGAACAGTCAATTAGAAATAATTTGATATAAGGAGACACTACACACAATACAAAACTCAGTATCTTACCCAGGACTGTGACTGTAGCTGGTAGAGAGTGAGGAGAAGGTTTAGAAACTCCTGATTTACTCACAGTGTAGAAACAAATAACACTGACTGGTTCAGGTGACCTGTTACTGTGTCCTGTCCACCTGGTCAGTTCAGAGTCAGTGAGTGAGAGCTGACAGGATGGTGAGTGTTTTATATTTGTCTTGTCTCTCTCTGGATAGAAATAACACTGAGACACTCCAGCATACGGAGTCTTACAGTCCAGCTGTATTGACCCTCTCTGTGTGAGAACTGAAGGAGACACTGAGAGCTGAGGAGCCTCTGCAGCAGAAACAGACAGATCCACCATCAGAAATACACACTGGAAAAAATCACTGGAGAAAACACTAAATCTGATATCAGATACTAGCTCTGCACACTTATTCAGAATTAATATTTGACTTAAAATTCAGACTGATTTTGGTTTCATAAGCACAGAACATTTAACCATAAACTGTGATGTAAAAGCCTCTTAGAACAGAAGATCCACAAATAATGATATTATTATGTTTACATTCCTCCTCTTGACCTGATCATGATTGTCAATAAGATTATTTCTAGTAGATTATTGATCCAGCAACTTACCCAGGACTGTGACTGTAGCTGGTAGAGAGTGAGGAGAAGGTTTAGTGAGTCCTGATTCACTCACAGTGTAGTAACAAATAACACTGACTGGTTCAGGTGAACTGTAGCTGCGTCCTGTCCACCTGGTCAGTTCAGAATCAGTGAGTGAGAGCTGACAGGATGGTGAGTGTTTTATATTTGTCTCGTCTCTCTCTGGATAGAAATAACACTGAGACACTCCAGCATACAGAGTCTTACAGTCCAGCTGTACTGAACCTCTCTCTGTGAGAACTGAAGGAGACACTGAGAGCTGAGGAGCCTCTGCAGCAGAAACAGACAGATCCACCATCAGAAATACACACTGGAAAAATCACTGGAGAAAACACTAAATCTGATATCAGATACTAGCACTGCACACTTATTCAGAATTAATATTTGACTTAAAATTCAGACTGATTTTGGTTTCATAAGCACAGAACATTTAACCATAAACTGTGATGTAAAAGCCTCTTAGAACAGAAGATCCACAAATAATGATATTATTATGTTTACATTCCTCCTCTTGACCTGATCATGATTGTCAATAAGATTATTTCTAGTAGATTATTGATCCAGCAACTTACCCAGGACTGTAGCTGGTAGAGAGTGAGGAGAAGGTTTAGTAAGTCCTGATTCACTCACACTGTAGTAACAAATAACACTGACTGGTTCAGGTGGACTGTAACTGCGTCCTGTCCAGCTGGTCAGTTCAGAGTCAGTGAGTGAGAGCTGACAGGATAGAGAGTGTTTTAGATTTTTATAATCCTTCTCTGGATAGAAATGACACTGAGACACTCCAGCATACGGAGTCTTACAGTCCAGCTGTACTGACCCTCTCTCTGTAGAAGAGACCACCAGCTGAGGCTGAGAAACATCTGCAACATACAGACCATCAAACAGTTCACACTGGTTACACACTGGATATAACAATATCAACTAATATTTGTCTGAAAGAAAATGCAGCTGTAGACATAGAAAATGAGAAATTAGGAACATTTACCGCAAGTATCTGATTGTGTGTCACTGAGCACCATCATATTGTAAGTATTTACAGTTCTTCTATCGCAGTGACTTTTATAGTGTGCATTACATCAAAGCTTTCAGTTTGCCACAGTTATTTTTTACTCTAAAAACAATTTAATGGATCAAATCCACAAACTGGTCAGTGAGACTCACACTGGGGATGAACTTCCAGAATCAGACAGAAGGAGAGGAGGATGATCAGAGCCATTTCACCATCACCAAGAGAGAAGAGAGAAGAGAGACGCTCGACTCAGACAGTTCACAGAGCGACAGGAAAACCACCACTGATCACTTCTGGGTTTACAACAGAAAGTTAGTTTCCCCTTCAGCTCCTCATTTACAGCTCTGAACATCTCACACATCACTAAAGTGAATCACTGGCTTTAATATGTGAATATTACCTGCTCTACAGAAACACAGCATCATTTACCATTTATACAGATTACGGTGAAACAATGAAACCAGACTGTTCTGAATGCAATGTAGTGGTTTGTGTTGTTCAGCAGTGAGACTATCAGTACAACACACAATCAGTTTAAAAAATGACAGTGTAAGTAGAAAAACTGTTTAAGATATTATAGCCCCCCCCACAAATAGAGAGATATTTAATTCAGTGTCACATCTGCTTCCTGTTTTATCTGCACCTCTACCACTCTCCCTTCATGAAGAGGAGGAACTCATGTTGTCCACCAGAGGACATCAAAGCTCTGACCTTTTACATTAAAATACCGTTATAACATATACATACAAGTACAGCGTCCTGTAATACAGAAATGCACTGTTGTTCATCAGCTTAATGTTGCTCTAAAAATATGAGAGAAATCAAGCGTTTCAGTGAGGTGAAACTATTTAAACACAAAAAATATAAACATAAAATTATATAATTAATTTATAAAATAAATATTTGTATAAAGGAAAATGTTACAATTATTAGTATCCATAGTAATTGGTTGGTACATTCTGTCTTTGCATATTTATAGTTCAGTAAGGTAATTTCACAGAGCATGAACATCACAATTGCAGCTTTAAAAATAAATATCAGCTTTAAATAAGCTGCAGCCTGACCGAGTTCTGCTTTAAAATACCCTGTGGTAAAACTGAGCTTCCAAAATACCACCAACAAACTCAACTTTAGCAGTTTCACTTTATAAACCTCTCAACTAGTTACCAGACAGTCAGACAAACTCAGTGACTTTGACCAAATATTTATTAAATTTACAGTGATGTAAAATTGTGTACACAGTCATATGCAAACATTTGGGCACATCTGCTCAATTACATTTTCTGCTAAAGTGAAAATAAGTAGCAAATCCTCCACATGTAACAAACTTAAATGTCATATTTTTTAGCAAATTTTAGTCCATGATGTCTGTTCATTTGCTGAATTCAACATATTTGAAAAATAAACCTAAAACCTAAAAATAAACCTAAACCTAACATCACTGTCTGACCAAAACTTCAAGTCTTCTTATCTTTTAACAGAAGTTAGTGTAACTGCATGGACTGTTTCGTTTTTACATTTAAAATTTATACACAATATTTTTCACATTATGCAAAAATGGCAAAACAGACAAAAATAAAATATAAAATATAAAATATAAGATTTTCAGTGGTTGGGATGCAAACAGAGAGATGCAGAGTGGTTTGGTGTGAAATAGTTGATTGTATAAACTCATATTTCTTTGCAGTGGTGGTGATAGGAACCAGGGGTCGCCATGGCTACAACACAAATATAGACATTTTATTTATAATACGAAACCACCAGTGAACATCAAACTCTTCAGACGTCTGGTTCCTATCACCACCACTGTGAACAATTCTGACTCTCTAGAACAGCGTTTCACACCAAACCACTCTGAACGACTCTGTTTACATCTGAACCACTTAAATATGCGATTTTGGAAACTTGGTGGAGTTCCCCTGTAAAAGACCAGTTTTCTGTGTGTCATTCATCTTTCAGAAGAAGCTGAAGCGTTTCTGTTTTTGGGTGGACAGGCTGTAGATCACCACTGTGTAAACTGTCCTATCAGCACCTGTAATGGACGAGTTTGAAGTTTAATCATTCACATTCAAAGAGAACTCAGTCTAAACTTGGTGAAGGAGTGTCTTTGAGGTTGTGAGTGGATCATCTACTACTGTCATCATATCTTCATGAGTGTAATGTTGATTTTGCAGGTTTGGGCAAACATGAACATCACTGTGGAATCGAGTCCAGAGTTTTTCAGATCAGCTCTCGATTTCCCAAATGTCAGGATTGATTCCCGGCCCTGCTGGAACTGGACTAGGACTGGATTTGTGTCTTATTCTTAGTGAACTCTGAACTTTTGTATCCTCATCTTGTTTCTGTGTCCTTCATGTTTACGGATGCAGGTGTCATATGATTTATCAGTTATGAATGTGTAGATTCACAATTAGTGAAGAAGTGAGTGAGGGCAGGTCAGGATGATCACAATTCATCTGAAATGACCTCAACAGTGGAACCACTGAGTTTTACAGGGACTCAAAGAAAGTCCAGCACTAAAAGTAGGAACTCTTCCTCGTCAAACCCCAAAAAGAGTCTACTGTACAATAAAAGGATAATTCTGAGGTGAAACCCTCGACTGAAAATTAAGGCCATTATGTAAGTGAACTGTTGTTCTGTGTTAATTACCTGATGGCTGGTAAGGTGCGGTCACTGAGGTAAACACTGAGTAGGTCCCAGCAGCTCCTGGACCAAACTAAATAGCAGAAAATACTCTTATAATGTTTATGAAGCAAATCTGAAAGATTCATTGATTCATTTTGATCAATCTTATAACAGAAATGTCACTCACTTCCTCCACACTCAGCACGGCCATCATGTTATGTTTGCATTCATCCTCTTGACCTGATCAAGACTGTCAGTTAGAGATTATTTCTAGTAGATATTGATCCAGTATCTCACCCAGGACTGTGACTGTAGCTGGTAGAGAGTGAGGAGAAGGTTTAAAAGCTCCTGATAGACTCTCAGTGTAGTAACAAATAACACAGACTGGTTTTGGTGACCTGTAACTGCCTCCTGTCCACCTGATCAGTTCAGAGTCAGTGAGTGAGAGCTGACAGGATGGGGAGAATTTTGTTTTTTCTTGATTTCTCTCTGGATAGAAATAACACTGAGACACTCCAGCATACGGAGTCTTACAGTCCAGCTGTACTGACCCTCTCTCTGTATAAGACACCACCAGCCTGGGCGGAAAAACATCTGCAACACACAGACCATCAAAGAGTTCACGCTGGATACACACATTGATTTAGTATCAACTCATTTCAGAATACAGTTCTTTATTACTTCCTTTTGTAATCTAATCATCTGTCCGAATACATAAGCAGCTCCACAAACATCTGGAGTCAGAAAAATTCGCCACAAGCGTCTGATTGTGTTACTGATCACCATCGCATTGTCAGATGTTACAGTTCATCCACACCAGTGACACTTTTTAAAGTGAACGTTACATTAAAGTCTGCAGTTATTACAGTTTATCACTCAACAAAGGCAGCACAGAGAGAAAACTGGTGAATGAGACTCACGTTGAGGATGAACTTCCAGAATCAGACAGAAGGAGAGGAGGATGAACAGAGCCATTTCACCATCACCAAGAGAAAAGAGAGAAGAGAGACGCTCGACTCACACAGATCACAGAGTGACCACTCCTCCTTTTTTGAAGGCAAAATTCACGTGTCTGGTCAGCTCTTCACACGGGTTCAGAACACTGATCATCTCCCACATCGCTAAAGCTTTAATGAATATTATCTGCTCTACAGAAACACAGCATCATTTCCCATTTACACAGTTTACAGTGAAATAATATGACGACATACTGTTGTAAATACAGAGCAGTGGTTTGTGTAGCTCATCAGTTTGAGTGATACTGTCTGTACGACACAGAAATGGTTCAAATGGTTCTCAAACATGTATTTTTCCAAGGCACTGCACACAGATTTGCTTCAGAGTGAACATCTACATTCAAAAGTGTGGAATCACTGTTTTCAATAATATTAAACCACTTACACTTACGATTTGATAATGACTGAGAAAAGTGTAGAACATTAAGAATAAAGATATAATAAAACTAATATCCAGAACACTTCATATTTGAAAAGTGGTGATCAAATCTCACACAGACACATCTGTACACAAACGTTTGTGCATCACTGGCCATAAACTGGTTAGACATTTGTCTCCCCAGAAAACTTGATCTTAAAATCTTAAAATGCCGTCTGATGTCTTAACTGTCTTAATGCGGTAAAAGTCTAAAATGTATGCTTAAAAAATTAATTGTATGAAAGGGTTTGCATAAAACAAAACTGATATCAATCATAATAGAAAAAAATCTGTTCTTTAATATACTGATACTGCAGTCTGTGCATTAACTGCTGTTAACAGCCAGTAAGAATCTGCTGAATTCTGACTTAACTGTTACAGCTGTGTGAGAGGAGAGAGATTATAACAGGAATGGTATATGGATTTAATTATTTAGAATGACTAAATCATTAGTATAATGTACAATTAGTATTCAGGTAAACAATAATGGCATTTATTTATAATGGCACAATTAGTTCCTTATGCCATGTAACCATACAAACAATATATTTTATGGTTTGTTTGTTTCAAATATTACAGAAGAATTTCAAAATACATCAAAACAAGACAGTTTGTTAAATACAATAAGTTGTTTCGTAATCATAGATACGACACGCTGTTATCTAAGAGACACACTGCATAAATACAGAATTAGAAAGCTCTACCTGCAGCGTCTTAGAGGAGACAGCTTTCATTACGCACATCTATGTATGTATAGAGGAGAACGGGGCAAGTGGAACTAATATATATATATATATATATATATATATATATATATATATATATAATATATATATATATATATATATATATATATATATATATATATATATACACATACACACACACACACACACACACACTACCATTACTACCATTTTTTGGCCTTATACCCTTAGGAAGGAACGTAACAATTATGTGTGTGTGTGTGTGTATATATACCACTTGCCCCGTTCTCCTCTGTACAGGGTTCTGCTGTAAGTAGCAGAAGATTAGTATCATTTGGAGATTTTAGCTGGATTGTAAGGCTGTAAAAAGCAGACAGCTTTTTGAACATTTCAAAGCTGCTTTAATGTCCAATTTGTTGATTATATGAGGTTCAGAAAAAATGCTAATTTTGTGAAAGCTAAATTTTGAAGATTCTTCTCAATTTCATCTCCAG